TTGATTCTGAGATGCTCGTTTTTACAGAATCTTTCAAGTACTGATCCATATTTGAGTCCGTATACAATTGACGCGCAGCTATGGGTTTTCACTGACCTTTATCACTCTCTCAAAGAACGGTTAACGTCTATCCATCAACTCGTTTAGGTATCCGGATTGTGCAAGAGGATTTCGTTTAATCGTCTGTCCTCCGATCGACAGGTATTGAAGTACCTAAGGAAGAAAAAATTCTTGACATGGTGGTTTCTACAACTTGCATTCACTCCGAGGAGGGCAGGATTATGTTTCGTTAATAAAGGCTGTAAAAGAATGACCGGGTAGAGATACAGCCGAGAAGTAGCGTGTTCCAAAATCCATAGTTAAAGGAATTGGTGGTAAAGAAAGCGCAGGATTACTTCTTCCGGGCTATCAATGATTCAAGCCAAAGCTAAAAACATCAATAACGGAGGTTTTTAGGGAAACTTGTTAAAGCTCGTCGCTTACATGGATAGTTAGTGGAACGAGATCGACGCACTTTGATTTGATCAGCGACATCAAAAACTTCTCTTTTGTACCTAACGGTTGTAAAGCTTATTAAAATGATATCGACATCGAAAAAAAATGACATCGTGGAGAAGCTGTTCTACATTTACTGCACTCTATTTAGAGCACTGTTCGGCATTTTACGCATGGTACATATAAAAAACAAATAATTTTTCACTGACATAATGAAGAAAAATCATAATCGAGAAGGTATTTTCTAACAAATATATTGCAAGTTGTGCTGATTCGGCGTATCGGGAACGTTGGCTTACTGTCACAAGCATTCTAACAGAAGATAACTAAGTCTTTTGTCTGGATAAAAAACACATTCTAACAGACATTATAACAGAGACCTTTTCGACGACTACATATTCCCGAAAGCCCAGAAAGTTGGAAAAAACCCGCGGTTGCGGAAGTTAGCTCAGAGACGCGCGTGCATGGAGTGTGACATCAGTTTCCGATTCATACTGGCGCTTCACTCATGAATTCTGTTGTGGATGGCCTTTCGAAGGCTCTAGCTATGCAGCCCCTTAGCAAACGGCTTGCTTATTACATGACCGTCGGAATCGGAAGTGAAAGTTCAAAGTGACATGGCCGGAATGCTATTGCTTGTATCAGTGGGGTCTCTCTCTGTGACCCAACGTTAACGAGGTAATTCGGCATTGTGCTTTATGTGTGCATCCTGACTCCCTGAGGGTTCACGACTCATATGGAACACCTATCGGGTGCAATTTGTTTTATATTGTGTACAAATATAAATATTGAATGTTCAATGTCTTTTTAATCTGATAAGCGAAAAGAAAAGAATGAATCACACCACATAGCATTATAAAATATTATGATTTACCGGCATTTCCAGGTTTTGATCTTATTCCACAATCGTTTTCTAGTTTGGTAATAGTAGTACCATCTAATTATTCCTTGTATAAAAAGGAATGAGCTGTTTGTTGCAATCGAACACAGCCAACTGTTACAATCTGTTCTTCGTATTGTACAGGTTTTCCTTGATGATATATCATGATACAGAACGCTAGAACTTGTATGTTAATAACTACAAGTATCCTAGCACTTTCTGTTCATTATTATTATGAGAAACAAAATGAGAGTAATGGGCACAGGTAAAAGCGAATCACCCCTATTGATTCTGCAGGAAACAGACCTTTTATGCCTTTCAATGATTTCACATCCATTTCAGCCCAGTTTTCAAAAACGGTTCTGCCTATTTTATATACATCGGTGATTGCCTCAGAACCTTGTTGATTCCTCCATAAGGTTCACTTTCCTCATAGGAAATTCTGCAATAAAGAGGAAAAAAAGGTCGTATATTTCTTAAAATCCATGTAAAAACAAGATAATTCATGTAGATGTGTTTCGCGATTAATTATGATAGAAATAAGTGGTTTGAGATGGGGACCGGCATTATGGCTAGCAAGTAAAAGCTGCGCAGAAAAACAGGCTCTGATGCTGAATTTGTTCATGGAATAAGTTTCTGTTTTTCTTTTTTTACAATTTACTCCGATTTGACCAATGGTATAAAGTTTATCGTGTAATAATGTTCATAATGATAATATTGGATAGATATATAATTATTTAGTATATAATTATTAAAGACGAGAGGAATCGTTCATTTCACACACCAATCCGCAACAAGCTAACTGATTTTAAGCACGCAATTGGTGGGCTACGCCGTTTTAGTAAATGGCTTCCACCCGCACAGGAAGGCTTTTTCTATTGAGTGTCGGTTTGAGAAGGCTGCAAGACGTTTATTGGCGACGACAACCGTTGCAACCCTGTAGGTATTCCTGCAGCGCCTCTTGAAAATATAAGGTAATAATAGGTATTTAATTAATTTTCAGGAAGTATACCACAAGCACTCAAGGTTGACATCTTGACCTTACCCTCAAATTACAAGTAAATTCGTTTCGTATGAAAATCTCATAACGAACATATGGCTAAACGTTTTCCGTTTCTTATTAGGAAATGAGACAGCAAAGAAAATGTTACTGATAGATTTAATCAAGTAGACGCTGTTTAGTATTATCGAGGGCTGGCATGGAATAACCAGTGTTAACATTAGAATGAGTCCACCCTGTGTACTAAAATTGCGAATTTTGGTTGCAATTTACCAATATCGTGAAGAATCGGTAATATTTGACTTTAGCAGGTCTTAATGTGGTGTCTAAGGGAATTTCATGGATGAGCGCAGTATTTTAGGCCAGAATGGACTAACAAATAGAAAAAAAGTCACATTCGAGACCTTGCGACTCGGATTTACTTATAAGTAGAGCCTGCATCAGCGCATTGTTTTTAAAGCTAGTCAAAAGTTATTCGAAATTATCTGCTATCTTTTGGCCTACTTTGTAGCTCTGCTATCATTGGAGGTATGGTGCAGCTCAATAAATATGATTGTGTGCACTCGACACCTCTAATATTCTGTATTGTTATTATTTACGAACAGACCCACTATCGGTAGCGGCTTCAGTACATGCTAGCTTTGAACGTCTATGCTGTCGGCACAGATTTCAGGCTTAAAGGTTATGGCACTACAATTTTTAACCCCAAAGGAGTTGCTTGTTCAGTGTTTATTTCTCTAGAATCCTCTCAATAATGGCTCTGACCTTACGTATCACTGAATGCATGCCACTCAGATGGTGCTCACTGATTTTCGCGGTTCCTTTAAGGAAGAAGCTCTGAGGGAAGCTTGTATTATTATTTCTGGCTAGCTATACTTGTGCCTCAAAATGGGTGAAAGAAATTTCTCAAAATGGGGTTTTCTGCAAAAGACGTGCGTTGATGTTCCTGGATGAGTTTTTTACGTGACTAGTAGTGTTGCTCACCGTCGTGCGTTCCGTTGAGCTCTCTTGAAGAAATGGGTTGGTTTTGATATGAAAGAGAAGCAGTCGACTGAATTAAAGGAATATGATATAATGGTCTCCTTAAATGTTTCTTTTATATCCGAAATTAACCGATGTGTTAAAGAAAACGAACCTAAGGGATTCATTAGAACGAGAAATAGATCGAGATAGATGCACTTGGCCTTTACTTCCATCCAATTACCAAAATGAAAAACTTCTATTTTGTTCCTATCACGTTGGAGTATGACCTCTGCGTCTACATCAAGAACATAAGATATGATAGCCCAAAAAACCTTCTTGTCCAGACCAAAACTCGGGATATTGCGTGCGGTGATTCGAACCGAAATCGGGCTAATTGTTATTCCGTGATGGAACAACATCAAAGTGGTATCTGAGGGGCTTTTTTGACACAAAGGCAGTATGACTCACAATGTTTCGGTGCACGACAAATCGCGTGTGTTTGTTACAAATAATAAAGACGAAAACAAAATAATTGGCCGCGTTAATGCCGCTGGGCAAATTGGCAAAGCGCATCTAGGTGGTTACAGCCCGCACTTATCTCAAATCTGGCAGTTCCGGTAGCTACTTTAACTATGTGCTAACCTTGGGTGACACACAAGACAAAAAAAAAATGACATATGATGAATTTTTGTACGAAGCGTCGTTTATACACATGAGCTTCAAGAATCCTGCGGTGAAGCCTTTTAGTACACGGCTGGATCTTTTCCAAACTCGAAAGATCATGGCCGTATGATTTGTATTGGTGATGCGTAGCTCAACAACAGGCGTTCTTTTGCTATGACTAATTGTGGACAGCGACTGTGTAGCAGGTATGCTAGATAGTTACTGAAACGTTTCATTCTGCATACCGGCAGTGCGAAAACACCCGCGTCGTAACTTCAAAAATAAAACCAAACGAACGTCAAAAACGGCCAAAAACTGAATTAAACGAATAACTACGAAAAAAACCAAGAAAACCCACTTATCGATGTTGTATTTAAGTAAAATTTTAAATGTTTAACGTTTATAATAACGACAATTTTATTACATCACATCAACCTAATAGCTGGTCAGATCCCACAATACATGCTACCTTTTTTCAGTCAAACAGTTAGTTGCGTATTCAAATGTGGTTGTTGATTTCAGTGTAGAATATCACACAAGGTTCTTTAAAAAATGTTTTTTTTACAGATATTATCACTGCAACATTAGCCAGAGCGAGCTTATGGGTGTGCGGTGTGCAGTAAAAATTACCGGTGTTATTATATATAAATTATTACATATAAAAATTCCACACAGTCTTGACGAAAACAAATTTCATAATGCATTTAGATTCAGGGCCAACGATACTTTTCCTTTAGACCTTACACATATGCACGATAAAAAATTACCTTTATTGCAAATGGCGCTTTCTTTCTACATTTCTACAATCTAGAATACTAGCATATATTTTATGGAACCAGCACTACTAAATTAATGTTGTCCGATGGTTTTCACAGTGAAATGAGAAAATCACAATCTAGGATATGGTATGACTTCCCGCCAAGATGGCGGAATAAAGAGATTGGTTCTTTTTCTAAAACAAGGAGAAAACGCTCAACGTAGCCTGCAGCTGCGTTGAACGGGTCCTTAATGACGTCCACAGTTGCGACTGTCACACTACAATAGTGACCTCTTCTGACCTGTAAACAACGGTAAGCAACCAGCGCTCTTTCGGTTTCCTTTTATCTTTAAGTAATCGAATATCGGGAAAAGGTGCAATATATTAATGTTTTGAAACTCATATTGATTTTAGAATAGGTTGTACGTTTGCCGCTAATCGGCAACAACGTTGGCAGCTTATTCGTTCAGGTAGTAAATAAGGCGAATTATAGTAAAACGAATATCTCTTTGGAAGTTTAGTTTCAATGTTTTCATTTTCAATATTTCCATTTCAAAATGTTTAGATTTATATACGATGTCACATTATGTTTTTGAACTTTAAAAAAAGATTTAACAAACGACTATTAAAATTACTGATCATGGTTTTATAGAAGACGATGCAGCGTTTTGAATGGACTGAAAAAATGGGCGCGTGGGTATATGTAATTCGACCAGGGTCCTGAGTGGTGTGAACCATATGATACGGTCACACGGGCTCTATAGATGTTTTTTTGTACTTCCACGCTTGAAAAGTAGCTTTTTCCAATTATCAGGCTTTTAGGGTAGAGCCTTGTCGTAGGGCAAATTTTATTATTCAACACAGTTGTAACAGGGGCGCCCTCATATCATCTCTGCAATTCCTATAGTGCCATAACGTCACGATACATAATACATAGAAATATTATGTTGACATATAGCAGAATAACCTGTAGGCGTAGAAACCTATCGGTGCTTAGCTGTGGTACCGTGGGTGTACTGCATAAGACTATGTTATGTCAATGCGAACAGTTGAATTATCACAGGGTGTTTCAATTTACCAATGAGTGATAACCTTCATTTCTGAACTCGTACCTTATTAGAAATGATTAATAACAGCAAGAAGGGTGGAGGAAGACGGTTTAGGTTTGGATTCGAGTGCTATGATATCCTCTCTAAATATAAAGTTGTCGTTAATATCATTTTAAGCAGAAATCACAGGAAATACACGCGTCGTCACTTTCGAGCGTTTGCATGGAACACAATTTGCTAACCTGGACTTGGACTTGTAATATGATTGTGTATGCTATCAATGTAAACTTGTGTAACGTAAGAAATTTATTTGTAACAAAATGTACAAAAAAATTGGCTACGGACCGCAGAGAAACTAATGGCGAAATGCACAAAGTTGTTTTCCATGCAAATAAACACAAATAGGACAAACAATGCCATACGCAGACTGCAAATAATCTAAGGGTAGTTTTCACCCATTTCAGAAGAACAAGATGAGGTCAAACGTATGAGTACGTAGAGACAAATACGATTAAATGCCGCAGGCTTATTTAGATTCAATGTTCGAAACGAGCAGAGCACTTTTCTCGAAGCAAAACTGAGGCGAGTGCGTTTGTTGTAAACAACGATCCTGCTAGAATCTCGTTGAAAAACTACAAAAAAGTATACTATAGACATGGTAAAAGACGGTAGTAGGGTAGGGGCAACATCTGTTAATATAACTTGTTTTATAGTTTGTGTCTAAAAAAACTATTTTTAAACATTTTCGAACAATATATACAGAGTCCTAACATAATTGTCCAATCGGAGCTGAGCTAATTATGTACGCTTTACATAAAATAACGAACGTTTCTTATATGAATTTATTTTTCTAACTATAATTACGTGCGCAGACAATAATATTAACTGAAATCATAATTCAACTTATCCGAGAGCTTCGCAATCGCACTGGAGGGGTTTCTTGTTATTTGGCAACGCCAGATACGAACCGAGTAGATGATCTGTTTTTGTTGCCTGTTTTTTACATATATGTACACGTAACATTAACATAACAGATTCGTCTATGTATAGGAAAATCTTACTAGACCAACTATCTATTTGGAGTGACTTGAGTCGAGCGACTGCAAGTATTGTCCCATCGAGGGTCACAACCGACTCAATGTTATCGTATCTATACTTAAGTCAGGCCAGAGTTAATTTCCTCCCGTAGAGATCGACAACTGTGCATAGAAGTTACAAACACAAACGGAGAGAAGACCAAGAGGAGTTGCTGTGCACAGAGATCAACAAGGGATTAAAAAAATCCATCATCAAATTTCCCGTCGAACTTTCTATCACCGAGGGCTACCGGAGCATGAGAAACAGGCTTTGTAGAGGTATGGCCCACCGGATAACGAATTGGAATGGGAATAATTGGCCCACCCCGAACAAGTGCAGCGGCTGCTGCTAGGTCAAGAAGGCCTCGGCGTCGGAGGTCACATTGAGAACACCGACATTCGACAGTACCGTCAACATTAACATCACAGAAAGGACAAGAGCACAGCGCCCCTGGGGCGAAAAGGGCAACGTCGTTATGTACGATTTTCGATGAACACCATGCTTACTTTGCTAGCTACGTTGAGCTTTTACTGTTACTCTGGGGAACTAACTCGCTGACAGCCCAAGCCACTTGATCACTGTAGTTGCAAAACAGTAGTCGCGTTTACTGCAGCGGCATGCGCTTATAAAGGGTAACTGAATGCTCCGCTGGGAAGGGGGGCGAGATGATGCAAAACTTTTAGCGGCAGTTGGATTTCGGGAGATGTCACAGGGTAGATACCCTATACATTGCTGCCGACTGCCTATTGGTGTTCGCGGTTGTCGTTCACCATTGAATGGCGGTGACGGAGTGGAAACGCTTGACAGCCATTGGGTAACGCGTAGGTCACTCCGCGGGGGCAACTAAACCCGCTATTCCCCCGCAGAGAGTTCGAATGTTGACTGGATAAAGCTATTGCCGGGATTGATGCGAATATGAACTGGACTACAAAGGCTAGCTAAATCCAGCTGCCATCCACTATGAAGTTTCGTCTGGTGTCGCTGACGGTCCACCGAGAATATCAGAAATCATTTAACGAAAAAAAACCATGTGGATAGCTAACCGAGACTAGCCTGAAATGAAAGGCCCGTTTTGGGGGGCACGTGCATCGCCAGGCTATGCAACGTGTACTACTATTTTGTTTGATTCAGTTAATAGTTCATAAAAATTTTATAAGAATAATGCGAATCGCATGAACATCAACCAACATCCAAAGGATTTCCTTTAGAGACGCCCAATCATTAATGTTAACCGAGTCTTCTCTAGTTCGTGATTGTTATAACCTTTCGTCAATCGACAAGGATTTGCTTACCGAAAAGGACGTTCTATTATTTTAACTTAAAGCGCACAAGGATCATTTTTCCTGTGACGTACCGCGCTCGTATTAGTGATATGTACAATCGCCTATCTTTGATGTTGCAGGAACTATTGGTTTTCAGCGTAAATGTTCAGGCATTCTCTTCAATACATATGGACATCATCTAGCCGTGCTAGGATATGTCAATAATACTTGAGAAAGTATATAAGGTCATTTTCTGAGGACTTCTGAGATAAAACGCCAGATACGCATTATCACTGTAAGCACTTAAACTCTTTAAAAGTAAGCCGTGCGAGTCTCTGAAACATCTGTGCCAGGTAACTTTCTTTTCGTGTGCCGAATGTACGCCAGATTTCGTACGACCGTATGTCGGGTGTGGCCAGTGACGTGGTCGAAAAAACCAATTAGGTCAATGTACTACATCGAAGCGCCAGCTTCAAATCCTAAACAATTTTTTTAATCTAAGTTCATTAGTTGAAAACTTTTATAAGCATTTTCGACAAAAAGCGACAAAACTCTTACGAAATTCCAAGTATAATCGGATTCCAACAATTATTAAGCAAGATATATTACTTGCAGCGTTCAAGACATACATGACGTTAAATTTAAGGTTTTCGGATGTGGGGTTTGAAGTCGAACCGAGCTTGATAAGCGCATTTTTCGGAAATTTAAATAAAACTTTCGTTCATTGTTGCCTATTATTATTATTTATGGTAGAAACAAGTAAAAAAAAAATGATAAGGACTTAACATCTTAGACTGTAGCGTATAGTTAAACTGTTCGTATTCGTAGTGAACAAACACCCTTGCAAGATTCCGAATATTCGTGTTGAGCACCCCTTTCCCCCATACGATTCGTAGGAATAGGTTTTTATAGGCACATATTGAAAAGGAAGAACCTGTGATGAAAAAAGATTTGCTGTTCGCGTTCAACGAAATAAAGGACAGCTTCTTTCCTGATACTGATTTTTTTCTCGTCTAAAGTACGTTTTGCTAATGTTACTTTGAAATTAGATTAAAAAATCATACCATCTCAAAAAATACTCAAAAAATGTGGCTGGTTTTATAAGACTGAACAACTTTATTAATGAAATTTATTTAGAAGTTCGGTTATGTAAAATTCAATTTGCCTAAGAATTTTGACAGATTCAACGCTTAAGTAGATGGTGGTATGGCGTTGTGCAATCGAATGATTAGTGAGATATAGCAAAATGGTGAATTAAGCTAAAACGGTACAATTTAAAAGATCCATACATTTCTAGAAGATTTGTGATCAACTTTTTGGGGCCGATCATATGCAGCTCGTATAGGTTCAAATCGTTTAGTACAGTTTCCTCTTCAAAATATAGGTAGTAGAAAATCGATATAAGGATATTGCGTTCACAATACCACTGAGCAAATTAGAACTTGTAAAACAATCAGAAAAAAGATGATGCTTAATTTAGAATAAACTTCCATGGGCTACGTGAAGCTATGATTCCCCTGTGGTGTGAAGTGAGGCAGCAGGTCTACTTCATTTCTTGTGGTGTGCCCGTATAGCATCGCGCACAGTGTTTTAGAGCGCTGACATAAAACAGCCATAATTAAACAAACGTCGAGGAAATAATATTAAGACTGTTTTTTTTGTTTCTGTGTAGAAGATTTAACTAGTAGTTTACTTACATATATACATGTGTGTATGTGCATGTTAGTACAACACATCTAACATTAATTCAATATAATAAAATGCTAAGCAGTTCAATTTCTGTTTGTTTTCCTAACAGCGTTCATCTTGTGTGAAAATACTCCATTCGAGATTTAACCTATACTTCGTTCCTAGGCTTTGCTGCGTGCAGAAATTTATGCAGACTCAACATTTCGTCCAGTATTTATGTGCCCCTAGGCTAGGAGCTAGAGCTCAGCAGCTTAATGCATTTGAATCAACACTCTTATCTTCAGAGAACTGACGAATTTTTACAGCTGCAGTCAAAGTTTTAAGTTTTAGTTGTAAAAACTGCAGTAATTATACCTTAGCGGTACATACTCGTTTTAAAATTTTATCATGGCTTAACGTTTATCACGCCCACTTCTTTCTATAAAGTATTTTTCACTCAGATCGACCTCTAACTAATGCCTCGACAATGTAGAGCACATATGCAATGTAAAACGAATAGTAAGAAATGTATAAATTTAGAGTTTTCTTTAGTAACGTTTTTAACGTAACGTAGATCATTATACGATATATATATCAAGGTTACTAACTAATTATAAAAACCACTTTAGATAATGTGGATCTAATTATGAAAGCGGTATAGCAATTGCAATCATAAGAGTAGTTTCAAGGGCGAATTTTTTCCAATAAATGACATGTTCATATCTTCGCGGCAGTCAGACGGATCGACACACTCCTTGACTACCAATATTATATTATTTATTATTTTATATTATTATATTATTATAACAAGATTATGGATGTAAATTATCTTGTTTTATGGGTGAATAGTGCGCTGCCAGCCGTAGGAGCAATTCCGTTTGCGCAAAAGGTCCATGGCTAGCATTCAGTCTTCATAAACTAATAGCTCAATTACACAGTATTTTTTTTATGCTGCAAGTTATTAATCAATATATGAACATACTGGAATTTCAAGGCTGCAACGAAATCCGTTCGCATCCAGTAGCCCAGCTGAAACTTAAGAAAACACCAACGTGTAATAATAACAACACCGAAATTTATCGCTATTCAATAACTTAACACGCGATATGCTTCCGTTTGACCATTAAACGTTTTGTTACTGAACGGACATTTAAAAAAAGTTCATTTTGTAATAGATTTCTCGTTACCGTGTATTGAGTCTCTATTTATAATTAGATAATTTTATGTAGCATATAATCGATTTGTAGTTAGTCAGACTTTAGGACAGACAGGAAATCGACTTGAAAATTTCTTTACGATCGTAGCAATATTCTAAATTTCAGTATCAAGCATCCGGTCCATGTGACGATCAGGTACTCCGCCGTAGAAAGAGCTACAGCGCGCATGATCCCCTTTAAAATTCTTGATTCCAACACGGTACAGAGCAGACAGAGAGAGGTGTTGGCCCAGATACATGGATCTAAGAACGGATCACGTTCTGAGACGAGTTTTCCTTCCGTGCATCGACGGAATGATTCGGTGGGCCGTCGAAGGGTCTCTAGTTTTCATGACTTAATTGGAGTACGATGTTCTTTCTTACCGGGTGTCCTACTAGATCTCTGAAGATTGTTTTTTTAGTCTATTGAGTTGTCTTCCTATTGCTTGTTCCCTATTGCGATTGGCTCTGCGTTCTAATTGAGTTAAGTTGCGTCCTCGTTGTTAAACTTCACTTCGCTGAAGACTGTGTAATATACGGTTATCATGGGATTGAGTTCTCTTGCGATAGTTTATCGGTCTTCTTTTTTAGCTGCTTGTTGCTTATAATAAGACGTTCGTGGTTCGCGGTCAGTTCTTCGCCAATGAATACGATTTGACTATCCTATAAGCCAATGATTTCGCAATAGTAGCCACATTAGCTTCTTCGACAGAATCGTCGTGCGGTCGTGTTGGCAATTAAAATCTGTTCCGACTTCATCCTTTGTGTATATTGTGTATTTGGTGAAATGTATTTACAGGCTACACTGAATGAATTTACTTTAGGAAAGATTTCTAGTTGCCTGATTATGCTTTGCGCATTTTGGAGTTTATCGTGACATTTTCATGCTTTTAAGTTATTTAAAAAGTTTTATATATAAAAGTTATATAAAAAAAATCTACCTTCAGTTTTGTTTCTCTGCTACTATAATTGCTGCTAAAGTCTCAGTTACGCAACACATATCTAAAGTTCTGTACCTTGTTCACCCGCAATCACACAAAAAAGGTGCGAGATTGTATTAAGTCGCTGGGTTTCCTGATCAGGCACTACAAATATCACACATAGGTAGCACTTTTTAGAAGTTGTCTTGTAAAGCAGGGACCAAATACGTCTTATCCTTATGGCGATTATCCGATCGAGACAATAGTCTGAATCATTATGGTTAAATGATTTGAAAAAAACAATTGAAGAATACTGACAGCTCCGGAACGGAACGTTTACCGTAAAGTAAAGCTTTGCTTTCGCTACTAAATGTGTTGATATACAAAAGGTCGTCGTTTAAATCAAACCGAAACTTACCGTTACGAAAAAGCGTACGTAGAGAAAACTAGAATAGTCTAAGTGCACTCATCATCTTAGATGTTCCTTTTTCTAAATAATACAGCTTCGTGAGATAATAAGATAAACAGATTGCTTTCTAAACCACGCACAAGAACCTACTGGATCTAGCATAGGTGCGTGTCAATTTTTTTCACATTTCCTTTAACCAAGCAAAATTTCCTAACCAAAAATCTCTATCGAATGATGCGCTTTGCCCCATGTTTGACGAAATTTATGACATCGCTCCGATCGGAAATGGCAGATATGCCATATAGAATGACCTAAAATATCAAAAAATAAATTCTTCATTAAGTAGATAGATTCAGCAGCGAACAGCATAAATAGAAAACTGAAGCAGCAAGGTTGGGGTTAGGTAATGGCCGGGATGACCCGTATCGGCTAAATTGTAGTATTTTTTTTTTTAAAACACTGTTACAATAAATATCTGCTCTAAATTTAATCATTAATTCAGCCGCCTTTCAGGTAAAAATTATTTCTTAATTAATTTTGTTTTCCGTAGTCTCAGTTGCAACGATCATCTCAAAATAAAGATATAATCTACATCCAGTCACACTATTCCAGCCGCACGAAAATCTCAACAATATACTGTGGAGTTGTTTGGAGGCCGATGCTCAGGACGTTTTCACAGAAAAGTAGTAATTTTGCACGTCCAACGATGAAAGTGCACAAAAAAACTTATCCGTTGTCTATTTTTTTAAGCTGATTATGAGTCAAGCTACACATGCAGTTTCGGTGTGACGACAGGTGGACTGAAAAGATGTAGGTTTCCATTCAAATAAAATTAAAAAGTGTTGTTCTAGCCTTCCATTTCTTTTCGAACACACAACTTCGACTACACTTTTATTCATCGTAAATACGCATAAATGAAACACTTCCCCGTCATTTAGACCCTTTTCTTCAGGGTCTTTTCCCACAACAAGCAAAAGCAAGCCGACACCCTATGCATAAATCCAATATAAAAATTTGAACATCTTAAAGATGAACCCAGTATACGGTACAGCTAGAAACTTGATTATGGGTTTCTTTCCAATCTAACGTTGACAGAACGTGCATTTTTTCTGGGTATGACAACACTTGATTTTATCAATGAGGGAGAATATAAATGAAAACTTCAGGGTACGTAATCCTGTTGCCAAACACGATGTAAGGCACCGCTCTTAAGATGGACTTACCAAATGTATAATGGTTTTGGATCTTTTAATAGATCAAAAATCGAATATCTGGCAAATTGGACCTTTCCGAAAAATCAAGAACGGACATGAAAAGGAAAAAAGTACGAGAAGTTAGGAAAATCTAAATTAAAACTTAAAATATATCAAAAAAACATGTTTCGAGAAATAAGGAAACACGGCATATATGCATCGTTTCCAAGGTGCAAAATAAGTTGAACGATTTGGTTCTATAGAAAAAATACTAACATCTCTTAATCAATATCTGTTGAATATCCATTGAAAATTACACTCTTGCAATAATGCCCCGAAGTAGATCGAAAAGCCAAACGATGGATTCGCAGAACACGTGCCCCTAGAAACTACCTGTCTACAACAGAATGACAATTAGCGACATTTTACTCAGTATAATACTGTGTAAGCTCTCAAGCCCTCCGTGAGTCTCTAGGTGTGAAGTTGAGCGTTGTCGCGCCAAGAAAGTGGTTGAACTTCACTCAGTAATTTTGGCTGTTTCATGTTCAGTTTGTTATTATCTCCTCCGAAAATTGCTGATTCCCATGCCCACGCCAAGTTTTGAGCGCCTAGGGCCGACATAAATATTCAAAAAGAAGCCTATGCAAATAAATAAAAGTACCAGGACTCGTGAAGCTGTAGTAGATAACCCCGTATCAGACTACATATTAGAACAATGCAAAAACAGGGAGAAGCAAACATCTATACGGTTCGTTTTTGATTATTCTCAGATCATGCAGCACCCTTCTGTCAATCTTTTTTATGTCTCTGATTACATAAAAATGTATCGTATTTTGACAGGCACCAAAGACGAGCACTAGTATTCTTAAGCTTTAGGATTAGCCGGTTTCCAGCACAGCTATACACAGTTAATTATTCGTTTCCGCATCAAATCATTCATAAAACTCATTTTCGAATCCAAAATTTTCTTTCTAGAATTTTCCCAACTGTTTTCATCGAATACAATGCTTATACGAGCAGTCATCTCTACCGTGCCTCTGACATGAGTCTCGTATTCGAAACCAGTCAAATCTACTGATTTTTCATACCGCACTGCAATTCGCCTGCTGAAAGCAAGGATAAGCCTAAACAAATCTTCGATACGAAAGCGCTTTAGGACACGTTGTCGTCCCATAAAAACCCCAGAAAACGCCATCTATCTGCCATATTTTTCAACGTTCGTCGAACGCAAAAGGTTACGTACTACGCGGTTTGACTGTGTTTTCTTCATCTGGCAGCTATCGAACAGCTCCGTGGGGATGCGCAGCTTGGTAAAGTATGTATCCGAAACCAGAATAGATATTATTCAACTGCGACGATTATGATCCAGTAATACATATAACTGTACGCAGAGCCAGCTTTGTTCCTTCACACCTATCATTTCTGTCTACAATACCCAAGAGCTTACTGGGTCGAGGAAATACAAGATAAGATCTATTCTATATTCTAGTAACAAGGAAAGCGACAAGGAAGAAGACACATTGGTTTCAACAATTTAAGAATTGGCTAAAACGAATGTTGCCAATTCAATCGCAGTACATTATTTTAGATAACTTCTAAGGATTATCTGATACTTCAAACATTACGTTACAGTTGTTCCTTGTTACAAGAAGCGCCTGCGTAAAGGTCTCAGTTGGAAGTGTGGGGCTAGGGGCACCTGGTAACTTATTACATATATGGTTATCGTAATACGTAGTCTGTTATTATACGTTCCTACACCAGACTCAGCTCCCGTCTGCTTCTAGCTGGGAATTCTCTGTTTCTGTTCTCCTCACGCAAATAACAATGTAACAATCATTTAATTGAGTTTCACAGTCTATAGCCACTGTTGTTGCGACGGTGCTGGTTTAAGTAAGATTACGATTATCCTGCCACCGACATAAAGGAGAGTATAAATACCGTGTGCGTATTCGGCCACGCGAATCTCACGCTTTCAACAAGATATATGTATCGTTCCCCTGATTACATATTTCAGTCGATATAGTTTCCTTCGTAACTTTAATAGGCCCGTCATTGTCTCATATCCAGTTTTAAATTTCGTCACAGCTCCGATTTATCCGTACGTATCTCTAGATTTAGTGTTAAATATAGCATTTCAGTACCGGTCGTAGTGTAACTAATACCCCCCCCCCCCCCCACTACTTTTAGATGCAGTAATAACTGTGGTCGTCCGTTTCAAAGTTAACTGCAACTCACAAATCGGTGCCGGTTTAAAGGAGAGTAATGCGCAACGAATGAAAGAGGGAGAGACGAAAAAAAATAAACAGTGTGAAATTCTGATGCTTACGTATTATTACACGTCCTATATTAGGACACTGTCAGTTATCGATGCAACAAAGTACCCGGTGGCCTCGCCTAAAGCTATCCAGTGAAAATGGGTAAAAACAACATGTACTTCAAGTTCGTCATATTGATTTTCCATAGCATTGAATGTGGACATCATACCACAAAGTAAACGAGATTTTGTATATTTTTGAAATCCGCCAGGTTTGCTCTTGAACATATGTTTTTTCAGTGCTTGCAGGTATCCGCTAAGGCAACATCCTGCAAGTTTGGTGTCCTTTCTCCTCGAAGCTGCTAAAGCTGCTACGAAATCTTAAGACAAACGCCAACTGAAAATGATTGTCTATATAAAGTAATTTTACGATACAAAAGAATATTGTTCATAGGGTCAGCGCATCAACTGCATAGCATTTTAATCATGTGATACTGTTTGTGTGGTGCCATATGAGAAACTCTCGTTATTTAATAAAAGATGTAGTTCGGCGTAGCCCCAGATCCGGCCAGAATAAATTCTACTAGGTAAATATCGCATGCCGCTACTTCCGAACTTCGCCAGAACTTCTGTAAAAATAGACCTCGTCATGACAAAAGTTTATCTAGTCACATAAGTATTGTCCCTACTGATTTAACAGCAGCTTAATATCACTAATTTCAGATAACAGAATTGTATACTTGTAAAGCACTTTTCCGGTCCCAAATCAAAAGTTGTCGTCAAGTGATTACTGAATGGAAAATTAGAAGATAAACTTGATAAGACGGTCTTCAACGAACCTGGAGCCGTGCGGTCATTAACCAGGCCCGGTGTTCTGACTGCGGTTGACATGAAATAGTATCGATCTCGATATGCTTTATATTTATAGATTTAAGCGTTTTTAGAGCCGATCTTTCGATTATGACAGCAGTCGTTTCTGTGAAATATAAAAAGATGGGAGCTGAAGATGCCAGCTAGAAATAGTTCCTGCCTAAAACAATATATGTAGACAATAAAACTTGCAAAAATGAAGTGGCTGGAGAGTGAAAGTATGTGCTAGTGAGTTGTGTAACCGTTTACCTTTCTATAATTAACAATAATAATGCATTTGTTACAAAAACAATTTTTACTCTGATGGCTCCCTGAATATATAATTTGCAAATGATGACGCCTAGTTTGTAATAACTAGTTCACACGTACTGCTTACGAAGTACTAAAAAAGAACCCTTTATACCAAATTTTTATTTCAAAGACCCTTCTCCCTGAACTAGATATTTCAGCTTTTATCAGTACGTATCATATATACATCAGTACATACCCTTTTATAAAGCTGTAGGCTTGGGACATGTTATTATATATTAAATTGATGCCCAAATAACAAGGTATCTACAGTTGTCGTTAAACGTTTTTTAAATCAAGTTAATGGTGCTGGAATATTTGGGAAATAATAAAAGTTTTAATTTTGAATAACGTTATGAAAATTTCTATGTTATTCGCCTTAAACTACCATTGACACCGAAGTTTTTCTTTCGTAGATTGTTCAGCATACGAATGAACCTAAAATCCCGACATCTAATATTTTATCAATATGGTTGCTCTCAATAGCAACACCATTACAATTTAGAAAAAAAAAAAGGTCACAGAATTGAGAAAGAAACCACTATTTGTTAGGTCAGACTGAGGAAATGTCCATACTGTTTACAAAATTCAACACAATATTTTAAACTTTTTACACACGTGGGTATGAGCCGTTGATTACGGATGTGAACCTATCATTGACGCTGGTTCAGAAACTCGAAAAATAGTAATAAGAATAATAATGAACACACGCAATATACACTTCTCTCATATAGCATTACATAGATGCTAATCAAGAGACTCGTTGATGCTATTAATTTAAAAATAGAAAAACTTATCGACTAATAAAAAGATATTAAATTTAAAAGCAGTTTAAAAAAGTTCGATTATTCAAATCAATTTTCGTTTATCATTTAGCTACATATCTCACCCTTAAAAAAGCAAAAGCTTTTTTTATTTGATCTGATAAGGTTGAGCGAATGACGTCCAAAAGACTTTTATTAACTACGTTCATAATTTTTACAAATAAAATATAACAAGCAGAAGCAAAAAAAGTTAGAAAAAATATAAGTTAGAAAAGAAGAACGGGGGTTTTTTTAACCCTCATTTTACATTCATCTACAGAAAGTATTCTCAATGGCGAAGCATAACAATAATTGTTGACTGCTTAGAGTTACTAGATATTTTTTATGCAATGTACATGTGATCACAGTCTAAGAAGATAGGACTATGAAAATAGCGCTAAGGACTCCTATCTAGTATCAACAAGCGTGCCTAACAGCAATAACTCCGTACGGCTCCAGCTGACAACAGAACCCTATCTTAAATAAAAGTAAAAAGACAATGAATTAGTATTAGGTTAATGAGCTACTCAACTGTGCCAATACATGTGTTAATTTGGTAAGTGGTTTCTTTTGCCTTTACAAGTTACCGACTTTCCGATCTTATTGTGCAGATTTCATAACTAAACAGCTTCAGGGTCCCGGCTTCAGCTTACCTTCCTCATAACTACTGCCACAAGTCCAAAACGCTTGACCGATCCTTACACGAGCGAACTCCCTTCCCCCATTACGATTTCAGCCAAAACGTCTGAAAGACGCTTTATTATTTTAACGTTTATTCCAGTGTGTGCTTGAGTTAAATCTATGTCTCGAAGCCTGCAGTAAAGGAAAAAGTTTTTTTCAAAAGAGTTAGTGGTCTGCAACGAAACGATTATTCATATCGCTGCAGAGGATACGATCCCGATTTAATACAGTGACGCAATCGCCAATTAATTAACATCGGTGACTCAATACGTTACTTGTTCGACAGCGTACCGTTGTGACGTTCAAGTCTATCGTCATTTCAGATACTGCTCGATCAATGTATAGTCGACTGACAGCCTGTAGAGACTCACTTTCCGTGTTTTGAACTCTGAGCAAGGCGCCAGATTGGACATCTTCAAACAATGTATTGCACTCGGGACCTTATCATGTGCCGGGCGAGCTTGTTTTTCACCGGTTGTTTACTATTATCGTCATGGCTGGTATGGCCTGCTTTTCTAGGAGGCTCACTATCCCGCTTATTCAACCCATTGACTTTGCTGTCGCCAGCGCCGTGGATCGCGTCGTCTGCCATGATGGCCTCAATGTCGCTTCAGTCGATTGATCTACTCGCGTGCCTGTGTTTATTTCCGTGCATCTCTAGTTTAACTTCATTGACATGCTTTCTAATTCATCTTTTCACCTCGTATCCAACCAACCTTCAATTGGTTCCTTTAAATACATTCCTGGTAACGGTATTAATGATCCAGCATTAATTGTTCTTCTTCTATGTATCATACTGTTAACTATATTATCATAAAGAACTAGATCCAAGCTTGAAGCTTACCAGTACATTACTATATGAGCATACTATTACATTTTCATTTTACAAAATATACACACTGCAGAACCTTTGTTTTGCAATTCATATTTAATTAGCGTGAGCTGAACCTAGGTCATTGCTGTATCCTATGAAAATTTAATTGGTAATTTGGCAACAAATCCTTTGGCAAGAACTATACGAAATTCCGTACATTGGCAACTACGTTGAAGGTTTGTACATGACTCAGTGGAACTACAGAAATGCTTGTCATCGAACTACACCGTTGAGTTAATTTGCCTAAAACATGGTTACAAAGATACGAAGTAACTTTAGTGTCTATTGAGTATAATTTGAAACGAAAATAAAATGTAGAACGAATATTTATTACCAGCCTATTGATTCTCGCATATTGAAATTTAATTTAGATTTTGCATAGTATCATCTTTTATGAGCAATATATATATATGTATGTAGTCAGCCAACGTCCTATCTATCGTGAAAATATAAGTACTTGATTTTTATAATTTAAGTAAGTAATTTTATAATAATAATAATTTGTGTCTAATACGAATACTTATTAAAACCACGTCTCGACCCAGCAAGATTATCTAAAGCGGTTACGATGTCCCCTAGAGTCTTATGATGATAACGAGAGATAACAAACTGAACGTACTAGAGGTGTTTGACTCGCCTAGGAACAAGACAGTGTACCGGCGTTTTTTCCTATTACTATCAAATGAAAGCATACATAATTTCGCCCACTTCGTTTCATGCAGATCCAGCGTTAATTCGAAGAAACGGCCGGCAGATTTTCCTGATTGCTACTTATTTTGTTTCTGTGGTTGCAAAACTGGGTTCGGCATGGCCAACTACGCGACCGAAAAAGTGACTGAAACAAGCGAACTGTCTGGTATTTCGTATCGAGGGCTTGTTTTGGCCTTCGATCTATAAGAGGCATTGAGCAAATACAAACAAACTGTAATAGAACGCGCACGAAAAACCCATTCCGAATGAAAGGCTGGTGAAGACATTTGATCATCAGTTAGTTACATCTGTTAGCAATCTGAGGCCACGAAATTAATTGTTTTTGCCTACAATAGAGAAAGAAAGGAATCTGTAAAGTGGTTATATTATATCTACATAGATTAACACATGTTTACTATAATTTTCGCTAAAACTTGAATCTGCTTTAAATTTTGTATCACATGTAATTAATGATTATTAGAAACTCATGGAATATTTAATAGCAGCCAAAGAAAAAGCTTCCACCTATTAAATTTTGTTTTTTCGTATGGACATGACTTCGTCCGTAACGCGCGAATTACTTTTTTCACGCAAATATCGGACGTATTATATATAAGCGCGCTGGCTGACCGGGGTCTTATAATACATTAAACTAAATACAATTTTCAAATTAGCGTTGCCTGAATACTGTCATCCTCTGTCGTCGAATTATTATTCATTTTATATATGTACCGTGCACGCTTATACGCGATTGATAGATAAATTTTACTACTTTAAAGATTAAAGTAATCTAAGCCTCTCTCTAGAGGGTTAGATAATACTGCAAGTTTAGAAAAAGCCCTGTCTGTGCGTAAGGGTGTTGGTCTTCTTATGACGGGCCAACGTGCATACCCTAGTAGCGCACTTGCTACAGCTACGGCAAACTTCGCCGCTACAATAAGTCGGTTTTCTGTATAGGTGTACGCAGACTGAAATAGAGCTATTATACATTTCAAGTACCCTTTAGAACTAGTATATCAGATAACCCATAAATGCAAACGGCCTCTTTGGAAGACTTTAAGTTGACCTCAACCGAGCACCCTATCGGGGCGAGCGCATGCACACCAAAAGCCAGGTATAAAACGGGCTGACACCTTGTCGCACACCGGCGGTCCTCCGGGTGATGCCCGCACAAGGAGCCACGACGGGGTGCAAAGTCACCTAATTCGCTCCTGGGAAGGTCTGAGGCCGGGATCATGAGTCGCTCTAAAAGGGTGGTCACAGAAATGTGACGGGCTCCACGAGAAACTCCGCCTGGTTCCCTTGCTGTGAGCCCCAACGGGTTGTGAGCTCGGGGGACGCCGCGCGCCAGGGTGGTGCGCGGGGGCGCTGGGACAGGTGCCCGATCGGCTGTCTGAGTCTAATATGCGGGACGGGGCATTCGTTATCGGCGTGGGCCTCCGTAACTGAATTCAGACTACTCCACCTGGAGGACACACACATTTTCGAGCAACCCACAGAAAACAGGTTTTCATTTGTTTATCCCCTAACTCATATCGCATTACCTACATGAACACTATAGAGAGAAGTACTGGTCACACTTAGGGCACGAACACAATTTTTCTTTATATATTTGTCGTTCTAATAGCTCATTTCGTGATTATTAATCGCCATTATGCTTAATGTACGTTGTTACATAGGCACAGTTGAAAATTCGAAAGAAAACTAAGCCCTTTATGTTGTTTATTAGTGTCACGAATAATTATATCCCTTTGAAAAAATATTTCATAATACGGCAGGTTTGTATCGTTCAGTTGTTACTGTTATTAGTATCTCGTATAGTAACTCGTGTGTTAATTTTGACCTGTGAATTAATATTTTAGGTGTAAGAACGTCTAGGTATGTAAGTTCTCAATGCAATAAAAAAGATACTGTATATTCAAAGTAGTAATAAATACGTGTAATACATATTACGCAAATATACATGTACTACTACTAATCAAATTTAGTTAATGCGGCTAATAGGCTCTGCTCATTCGCGTAAAATTGTGTTATTAGCTAAATAATCTATGCAAACAAATGAATTTATTATTGTTTCAGCTTTTTATATTATTTGTTTCTTTATTCAAGCAAACATTTTTTCTTCCTTCTTTAACACTTGTAGCCTTGATTTGTGAACAGGTTCTTGGCATCACTTTTGAGGCGTAGTGGCATCGAGGACCTGCTTGCACTATGAGGTCTAGTCGAAATGGGTCCTACTGAAGTTATCAGGGTCAAACGTATGAAACGGCATGGTAACTACACAACCGCACTTCTTATGTGGTAGATGTACCCGAGGCTTAAGTCAGCAAATCCTATTTTTTTTTTAATATTTTATGCAGTTATTTATGCAATTAATATTGCAGTCACGATCGAAATATCTTTCAGGCTGGTGCAACAAGATATCGGGCCAATGACTCCAATGGTCGACAGTCGTAACTCTACCATTTTGCTGTCCCTACGTAAGTAGAAGCTTCGCAAGCCTTTTGTCTTGTTCTGAAATATTTATTAATTCACATCTGGTATATCACATATATATTACATAGAAAACATAAGCTACAGTAATAATCGTAGAAAAACGATATCGTCATGCTTCGTTACACACCTTGTTCCGTTATGACGGCCCCATTAAACGTTGAGTTTTGAAATTTCGCGCCCTCGGACTTGTCCTTTCCACTGTTCATTCGTACTGAGATGTTCAAACGGAATTCCCTGTTCATCGAAAAGTGTATTTAACACGAGAAGCCCTTATTTGAAGTTTTTTATGAGCTGATTAGAAATTGACAGTTTTCAGGCTACATTAAAAACAACCAAACACTTTCGTGTCTTGTTGACGTGTCCCTGGCTGTGCGCCGACGAGGTGCAGAGCGAAATGTTACGATGGCCCATCCGGTAGTGAAATTTGCTGAAATTCTAGCACTTATTTTCCTTTTTGCTAGCGTCCTATCTATCATTTGGGCGAAGGATTTGCCGAAGACAGTGAAATGCCTGGATAAACTTTGTGAAGGTAAGAACTAACCTAAAAATTCCTTAGAATCGAGATGTTCATTTGTAGGGACGTTTTACGAAGTGTCCAGCTGATCGTTCGACATGTTTCGCTGGCAGTATACCTGCTGATGCCGGGCTGCTGTTATTCAGTATTACACGGTAATTTATCTCTGTTGACTAGATGATTGCAAAAATCGGCCAGTATTTCCTCGTAATAGTGAATGTGTGTTCCATGTTTCTATGAATTCATAAATTCATAAAATCGGAAAACTTACTGTTTTCCGATAACATTTAGGTCATGTACCTATAGTTGGTGATGTTACGAGTGTATTCACATTCAGCTTATAATGGGCTCTATACGACGAGGTGCCACATCGAAAACTGCAAGTGACATCTGACAGTGAAACATATGGAGTTGAGTCGCACTTGTGTGGTGCGCACATATACATTTTAACAGTGGGACGACTGTTTGTAGCAGATTATACATACGAAAATATGGACACAACAATGATTAGTACGTTTACATACACTATGTAGGTCTTTAGTGAATTAGTGTGAGACGGCCGAGGATGGTGGTCTTAAATTAGTCTAAAGGCTTCTTGAGAAGAGCAAATGTCGTACCGCGTTAAGAAGTGCTAAAAAGGTGACCAGAATATTCAGTCATCTACGCCGAGAGAAGTACACGCAGATATTACAGCTTGTAGAAGTCAGGCAGGCTCGCACGACGCAGTGCCTTAGCTTTATAGATTTATTGATAAGAGGACTGTGGCCAGGACTGGATAATACGGCCTAATTAAAATGATGAAAGGCCAAAAGTAGATTTTCCCTATTTATATATCTCAAAATTCTACAAAAGTTTAACACTAGTCCGGTTGTGTGGTGTTCCGTTAATCTATACTCGAGAGTAATTCTAACCAACGTGATTTGTACTTCGCTTTTGCTCTACTGAAATCTCGCTCACACATAGAAAATACAATGCTGTAGTATTCTGAAAGTATTTAAAGCAGATTGGCATTGTCCCTCGTACTGTATTACGTTAGATGCCTATTATTATGCAGATAGGTATAGGCGTGATGCTAAATGTGGAACATAAAGAAGCTCGCCGTGGTTCTTACTGATTGGTTTTTCTTTAGCATTTTTCGTGGAAGGCATAAAATGAACGCGGATGTTGCCCTCCCGTACCTGTTCCAGACAAGTCATGCAAGACCTCTATTAATTAAATAGATCGATCGATTGATTATGAGGTCCGATAGTAGAGAGGCTAGCCAATACTGCAGAAATCGTTTACACCGTTGTTTATGCGTTATGTAAATTTAGATATAAAAGGCTTGATTGATTCAATATGGTATATCACTACTGAGACGATATAGTTGCGAAATGGTCATTAAGGCATTATAATTTTTTAGGGATATCATATTCAACTAGCCTCTTGATTTCTACAATAGCCTAGGCGTCAACACCAATAATATGGATTACTGCCCACCCAGGGACAAAAACTTGCAAAAGATGCTCATACTTAAAATTAAATGGCCATGGCCTGCTTTCTCATATTAGATGGCAAGTAGTTAAGTACTAAAGGAAGTATTACTTCAGTACAGACATCTTAAATTGGTTACTTCGTTCCTTCTGCCATTGAGCTCTCCCATGAACTTCAGCTGTTCGATCACCTATGTTTAGAGGAGATCAACACGTATTATAATTACAAACCTATTTGGCCCAATTATTTTAAAAGGCTACACTTGCTTATATAAGGTAGATCTTATATAAAAAGGTTTTTATTATAATTATTAAATGCAGTAGTATATTTATGAACTACTTCGTTATTTTTCGATATTTAAACTCATCATCTCTAATCAGTTAGCCTCAGTGTTCGTATTTAGATATTGATTCTTTAATAATTACGGCTCCCACTCCCGCAGACTTACACTGAGATGATGCCAGTTTTAGATCTTGGTAGTCAATTCAACATTTTTAAATTTTGAATGTCCCATTTGATCGCATAGATGTTTGTATGTTCATTGGTCGGTTAACTAATGCACTAACACGCTGAGCATTCTGCCTAAATCGAGATGCCTTTTCGGCCAAATCGACACTAGAGCCGCCTATTGTGCTAGGAACGAAGCTACTAATCAAATGTTGCAATGGCTTCTTTTGACGGTTTTTTTGGTATTTCATATTGTTAATGACATTCTTTAATCTGTTTAGCTACATCTGAGCGAGATAGGATTAGGGATGGTAAGCTAACATAGAGGTAAATGTAAATAGAATGATCACTCGATGAGGAGGAATAATGCGTATTGGTGTGTGAGTGTCTTTTGCAAAGTATAATTGCCTTTAGTGTAATTTCAAAAGAAAGGGGATTTTTAAAGATGCTTACCACAAAGTCAATCTAGAAGGCATACGTAACTGTTTTGCAGAATGGACAGTCTACCTAATGACCTATGCTGAGGTATATCGACAGAGAATTGCCGTACTTTAGAACATAGATCATAGTTTACTTTTGATCTGCGTAAGGGTTGATTTGGCTTAGCCTGAGACCCTCTTAATTGTAAATAGCGCTCTGAATAGAAATTTGAGTAGTATGTAACCTTTGACAATGGATCGCCTTTTGTACTATAAATTGTAAGGTCAAATTGGTGCTTATTAGTCTTGTTGGATAACACTGATAACTACTTGTCAGTTATCATTGTTATCCAACTTATTTACAAACAAGTTAGTTGGAATAACACCGTATTATGCTATCGGATCATATATGTTCTCTAGCAGTTTTGTTTTTCACACAATCGTGTTAGCAAACGTATTATTGGATAATACCACTGCTAGCGGCAGCGACATATGTCAACCAAAAGCTTTGTCTTCGTATTATAAGCCAAGTGACAATTTTTTAAAAGCAGCTAAAATATGTCGAACAGTTTGGATCTTCCCTTTTTTTTTTTTTTTATGTTTATGATATCCTGGTTATTTTCTTACGGTCTTCAATTAAATTTCGCGTTGTGATTCATTTCTCAAAAGTTATTCTTGGCCGGTTTCTGTCTTTCTTATTAATGGCTATATTTTATGTACCAATTTTTGTATTTTTTTGTTTTTATTTTTCGTATGTTTATTCTTTTTTTTTAATAGATTTAAACGACAACCCTTTATCTAGTGAAGCAACGTAACTGTTGACTTGAAAACCGACCGACTGACAATTCAGCAAGTGAACTAATTTGTATCCTCAAATTCAAACGATAACAAGAATATTAAAGTGCAGAAAAATCTATTAGTGAAACAATGTAGAAAAGGCGATTTACCCGATGATACCCACCTATGTACTAAATAGATGTAAAGTTTGATGTACGCTACTGGCTTAGTTAAGCATTGCATAAGTTGCTATGCATTACTAGCATCAGTTTTGTTACTTTGTGTCCTGTTTGTGGAGATTATTATGTCAGTTTAGAGAGAAAAGACAAAAATGTTGTGAAAACAGGACTCTGTATTATAACAGAGTAATAAAAAAAGGCGACTCGTAAAAGTGATGGAATGAACATATCAGTGTAATACAGTATTAAACGTTGCTTAAGCGGCGTAGCCTTGCGACTTAGGACGATTCTATCCGTGATAGGCGAACTTCGTAAAAAATTGTGATTTATTTATTTTGATGTGCGATACATGTATTTCGAGTGATTTATATATCTCGCTCATATTACCATGTCATTACCAGGTTCTCAGGGCGAGACCATTGCTCCACATGCAGTGCCAAGCGACCACGATCTGAAGTTAAGTTTTGAAGAAAGCGATCACCTACAAATTCTTGGCAACGCTGATAAGTATTATCTTGCAAAAGATTTGAAAACAGGAAAGGTCGGCCTCGTGTCAAAGACGTTCGTCAAAAAATTTGACGAAAGCCCACATGCCACTATCGAGGTGAGCTCCTCATGCAATGAAATCCTTGATGAATAATATATGCTATCTTCCTCCTTTCTTAAACTGCTTCCTGAACTTAACGTTTTTTGTTCGAGCTTCATCATTTACCATCATTATATGGTCCGGTCTTCTAAAACTAACCCGGATGTACTGCGGCATTCATTCGACAGTACGGCACCTACTCGCTAGCCACGTAAATATCACATCATTCTGTGTTGAAAACCATTAGTTTAAAAATAAGAGTATCAAGACCAGCATTTCAGGCGGTCAGAATTACAGGCGCATAACATAGGTGTCATTGCCTGTTTTTGTCAGGTCGATCTATCTTCGCTATTGGCAGAGCGGCAAAACGTGGCATCAGCTCTCCAACCCTCCCCGACCAGCGATAGACTATGCGTTGTAGATGGAACCACTTTAGGTACGTGTTGAAATAGTTTGCATATCGCAGGCTCAGCTAGATGAAGTTTAAACATGCAACATTTAAGAGGGTGACAATTCTGGACAAATAAGGCGCGTCCTTATGTCAGCGCTTAATATAGTTTTGTGTGATTTGAACCCTTGCAGTACAGCAGTTTATTTTAAATGTGTGCCAGAATCAACCAGATTCACTTTCTCAACCTTATCTGTATAGTTTATTTGTTTAAATATATACCTTACTTATTTGCTGCCTATTATCTACTTCAGATAATATACTAGATGAAAACCAGATTGATCGCCACTGGCTAATGACATAAGTAGTTTTTATTTACTGTTGTAAATAGATGAAATTAAGTGGGCTTGTCTTCCAAAACAATCCAGTGTAAAACGTTAGAAGTGAAAAAAGTAATCGCCGTCGGCGCGCTGGACTTCTCATAGTCTGTTTCGCAATTTGATGCGTTTTCAAGGTATCATAATTCCCAGTAAGTATATCACCATGGTTTGCGAAATCCAATGGTATAGCATTTTCACTTCTCACGCGTGTAAAAGTTGAAGAAATTGTGACATGCACGTGTCCGACTTTGCACTTTTAGTGGGATTTGACTAAACTCAAAAAAGTCAATATAATATCCATAACTTAGAACAATGAATCTAGCATTGCGGCTTGTTTACACCATTCCTTTTCGTTTTTTCTTTGATTACCATCAATCTGTACTACTCCAAATACAGAGAAAAAACGTGATCATGTTATACAACTCCTCTTAAAAGCGATCGCCAACAGTTGATTTCGACGTATCTACGTTTTTTTTCTGCCCATATGTGATATTCCCACTCACTTACATCCAATTTTCCAGACGAAAAAAAACTAGTATTAAGAATACTCGTTTTTTGCATTATCGGCACTTATTGCACCTATTTATTGTTTGCCTAGTACTGGCTGAGCAGAATTTAATCTGTGCAATGGTTTCTAACCGACGTCAACTCATACTGTGTAACTCGATAGCGCATTATGTGACAAATAGTATCATGGTTTAAAAAGGCCGATGGTTTGTTTATCCTAAAAAGCACCTCCTGTCACTTTCCCCGAGTGAAGCTTCTATACGACTTGTCTACACCTTCTATGGGTTTCATCATGTCAATGCCATTTTCGATCCGCTATATCAAACGCAGGCCACCATAGTGTTTAGCTGTGTTAATTTCGTTCGCTACGTTCTATCATAATCTCGTGCCTACTCTACTTACAGTCTAGTTCTACCCCTTGTACTCTCCCAGACGGCTACGCATTGTCGTCTGCTAACACGAACCATACACGTATCGAACAGGGAAAAAGCAGCGTCAATCATCATCATAACCATCGTCGTCCGTCGCCAACAACAACAACAACAATCGACCGTTGTTTTTGTTGTTTTTAATAACTGGTCTGCAGTGTTGCGTCTCTTTTCCTTGTTCAATTTTTTTTTTATACAAAAAAAAGAAAGTGAAAAAGGGGAGGGGAGAAACAATCTATGCTATCGTGTTATTTTCGTTTATGGCTATGTTGAAGTTTTTCATGAGCGAAAACTAAGCAGTCATTTATCGAGTGTGTTCTACAAGGTGTTTACAGTTGGTTGAGCAGCTGTGTGCTATTGAATGAAGTTTCCGTATAATTTGTCGGAGCATTGTGGAAATTCTGTCGCGGTCATGTTGTTGCTGTTGTAGAGTTACGGCTGGACAGGCTGTGATCAAAATTGCCGTCGTTGAAAAGCTATGAAAACGTGTTTGTCGGAAGTGAATATTTTATCGAACGTAGTTGTGCGAATTGAAAGACACCCGCAAAAGCAAAATAGATTTATGCTTAATAACAGGTTGATAAACAGAAATGTCAAAAATCTCCATTTTTACTTGTCTCGTAACATTGGTAGTCCTGAGATGTAAGTATTATAGTAATTTTTTGTTTTCAACTAATATGATATGTCGAACTAGAAGTCTATTTGATTTGCAGTATCACTGAGTACCACTACTGATACGGCTTCTTCATGTAACTTAGCCCATATTGCACCGTTGTCGCTATCCTCTGCGTGGGCTAACTTCGGATTTTTTTATGTAGTCGAGGGTAGAAGTATTTATGCTGTCTTTATTGGAAAGTTTGGAAATTCTGCACCATCATATATTTATTGAAAAGTAAAACCTGTACAATATACTGTAGCAATGGCTAATATATTACTAGTACTCGTAAATTTATTTTTTGTATCGATATAAGTAATTTATGATACATTGAGATCTTCAATACCATATCTTCGTAACTTATCAACTAAAAAACCAAAAAGAATTATTCTAATAGATCGCTATGTATTTCAGGTTTTCCATAGGCCTTGTAAATATTTCATTCAGGTTAAATTAAATGGACATTAAAGCTAATAAAAGCATTCATAACAAATGAAAAGGTAACTATGTAAAGTATATTATATCTGCATTTATTTATAGTTCAAGGTGGGTCTACTTTCCATTCCAACCGATGGTCCCAATATGGCAAGGGCTTTACAGGTTTTTTTGCTTGGGTTTGTTACCAGACGGCGACGTATGCAAGGACCCGGTGAGCACCCAGTATACGGTTACGGTAAGACCAAATGCGCGTGTCGCGGAAAACGACGATGGTTTAAAGGAAGATGAAAGGCCTCATGAGGCGTCGTCGTCGTTTAAACCAACTCCCGGCATAGAGGACCTACCGGCTAGTAGTGCGCCATCAGCGGAAAGCAACAGCTTCAGTCGAAATATTTTTCAAAAGGTGTATCAGGAATTTATCGCCCCGTTCGGGCAGGAGATAGAGCTTTCAGTACGTAAATATGAACGTTATACCACATAGACACCTTGGTTTTTTGTTGCCGCGAATGAGGGCGTCAAAAATGATTACTCTCACTTCTGGTCAAGCTAAAGTAATCAGGTATACACATCTACATCTGCACCTAGTTAGTATGGCTTGTTACGGTGTTTTTCCATGCACCTTTGCGGATCGTTTTTTATTCCTACCATGAATCTCAAATTATTCGATTTAATATGAATGGCTTAAACGTTCCCAGGCTAGCACATTACTTAATTTGTTGCCTTTTCGGTTTGACATATATTCCTTTTCGTGGGTGTCCCATTTATCAGATACAACAGTCGTGGAAACAGTGAATCCATGCCTCGTGAGCAATGAGGGTGTTAAAGTACCTCGTAATTCCTCGGAAAAAGTAACACGCAGGAAAACGAGATGACTTGGTTTTGTTCAGGTCAATACATTACGTTATGAACATTGGAGACCAAAGTACATGAGCTTTAATTGAAAAATGGCTATATATAATATTGATGATGTCGTTATTATGATCTCGCCGTACATGCGGGCCAGGAAGTGGACTGTGGCGCGGAGTGTTTACTCAACACGGGTGCAATCGCGCAGGTGGGTTCCTCGTTCACCCGGTATTTCATTCTCTTCTGTCTCGTTGTTATCCGAACTGATTCTACGCGTATTTCATCTACGTTTTAAAAATGTCATGTAATTCTGGGCACGTTCACTTCTCTCTCTCTCCCGCTGAAACAAGGGAAGCTTTGTTTATTTCGACATCATAGTGCATTTATTCAGTACTTTGTGACCTTAGTTACATCTTATTTGCGCTGTTAGTGAACGAAATAATTATTGTCGTTTAAATGTTCCAGTACTTGAGCATATTCCACATAACTTTAGGCTTTTTTAAGCATGCAGTTGTTTAGTAGGCCTAAGCAAATTCTCAGTGCGCTCCTTTTTTCAATGAGCTACAAAATGCGATTGCGCTAGCATGAGTAAATGAGGTAAACGTTTTACCTACAACGATAGGCTGGAAACAGTATTACTTTGAGCCAGATAAGGCTCTCGACACTGCTAGTTCTACTGCAGATAAGTGTCGCACAGAGGGAAGAAAGGATTGACTCTCATGCTTAATACTGTAAGTACATTGTGTGCAGTTTGTTTTTCCTACATATTTGCATTTCTTCATTATAACGCAAAATTTCGCTTCACGGTAAAACTTGATCACGAGTCACGAAGCATCGCACTTGTTTCTGATAAGAAACAATTGCTAATTGTTTTATGTTTCATTCATAATCAGAAACGGTCGCCTATAATTCAGAATCATACCTAGTTCTTTATGCGAATAATAAGCTTGGTTGCTTCACTTGACGTTAGTCTGAGAGTGATAAGTGCGCAGCATTTCAGTATACGGCGCCAATGTCCGAAACATCATTCTTGCGGTTTTCTGCCTATCGAACGCTAGGAATAGTGCAATTGAAAAGCCCGGTGTAGTTTCAAATAACAAAGAAACAAAACGGCGAAAATCGTTGTGTGCAAAGATTTTTATTCAAATAATAACTGCGAGAGCATAATTTAAGGTCAGATTAGAATTTATTAGAATAATTTTAGTTCCGGTTTTTTAAAATTATAATCTAATTTCGTTTCGTCAAGTAAACTAGATCAAACAGTGCAGTGAGTTTTCCGATTTTAACGGGTCTGTGGATAGTATCTTCTTTTTACTTCTACCACTTGTTAGTTATTTTCTGTTTCGGTGCTTTTAAGGGATAATCTTTATTTTCCTTATTTCAAAAATCTCATCTCCACAATATGTCGACCATTGTATGTAGCTGCATTTCTTTCAACTATCTCAGTTGATGTTTATCACTGTTTATGTTTTTATCTGTCAGTGTTTATGTTACGGGAACAAGTGGGATCGTCATCGCATGACCCTCCCTAATATTGATATTTAATGGTTATTTACTCTTTATATATCGGATCAACTTTACAGGACCTCGATGGCAAGAGTGCTGGGTCCGCACCGAAGACTTCATATAATTTGCCTAGTAATGCTGTACAAACTAAGGCCACTGGTACAACCAGCAAAGGTATTTCCGTCGATGAGACTCGGATTGCCAATCGGCTAGAAACCAACATTTCCAGTTACAACATAGTAAATGACGAAGGTTCGTTGAATAAAAAATAAGAATAAAGCGTCCTGTAATGGTCGAAAAATTGTTCGTTTGAAATAATTGTACCTGTTTTTTTAGCTCGAAATTGAAAGGAGTTGGCTTTTTTAGCGTCACTTGTGCATTCAAATAAAGCTTTTACCCTCATCATAAGGTACGGCGCCATTAGTGCAATAAATTCAAGGTTAGGTGACATACAATTCTATAGATATACAATATGTGAATATATGCATATATTGGAGCCGTTAGATCTATACGAGTTTACAGATTTGGTGACAAACATGTATGTGTTGTTTAAAAGATCAAGTATATCTAAAAGTAATCTATTCAGAATTATTATATTTTTATTCTAGTGAACGTCAACGCATCGATTGCTGCAGCTGCTGCTTCAGTTAGCCCAGAGACAGAGAATTCCGACGAAGGAAAATCCCCGAAGCTTTCCACCGGCGGTGAAGGCTCGGAAAACGTAAGTATGTTAAACGTAAAGTGAAGCGGACACGAGTCTTCGTTCGTAAAAATTAGATCAGTTAAAAAAAACTTAGTGATGATTTATGATAAAGCTAGAATATCAATCCTTTCCACGATAGTTTTTCCCATGTCGTTAAAATACGCTTGCTCACGTGCACGTCGCGTATAATGTACGGGGCCGTCACTAAAAACCTAGTAAATTTCGATTAATTTCTCAGTGTCTTATACATATCGAGCTTCTCCGTTCTAACATCCTGATTTCGTCTTTGTTGTATGTAGCGTCTTTCCCTGCTCACCTTACTTCTTCTCGCCGTTTATCCAATATTAAATATACGTGGCTATTGTGATGTTATTTTCAGTGATTATAATGATTAGCCATTTTAATAGAGTGTGTATTTTTAGTTTGCCAGCGATCAGGCGATCAGACCCGAAGCGAAAAAAGTCGAGAAAACGGCTGATACCGATAACAGTTCTGTGACAGCGGACCAGCCTCTTAAACCTGACTTCAATGGAGAAAAAGCTGAGAATCCAGCGCAGAATGTAGTGACTGGCCCTTTGCTGGCGACAGCACCGGTCGGTATATGGTTCTTTGTTTCACCTACTGTAAAATGCTTAGTCTTGTACTTATTTTTACAGGTACAAAAGGAGATATGCCTTTCGTTATTATTTTTTTTAACGCCACAGCATTATACCATATCTATTTTGAGTTGACAAAATTGGTACAAATTAATTTTCCCATTTAAGTTTGCTATGTCGTTTAAAAAGACCCCTTTATTTTTAAATACTACTTTTAGCATGACTTGAGCGTTATTGATCCAAGCCAAAAGCATGTGCATACGCCTATGAATAAAACAAATTGTCATGGAGTTCAAAGTATATTTTCATGCTGGTCACTGATGTCTTATTTTTCGAGCGATCAAAATACGTAGTAAAATTCTGGCAACAATTTTTGTTCTAAAGCCCGACTGGTGGTTGACGCCTATTGGTAGTCACAAATTCAAGATCTATATTCTCCGGTCTACATTTCTTAACAAAAATCAATCTTAGCAAGATATCTGAACCTAAGCTGCGTTCAACAACTAACCTTGTGCATTTAGTTAGTTTGTTTACTTTTTAACAACATTGTGGTGTACACCAAAAAACGTCACATTGTTACTTGCTAAAGCCTATTCGTATCCTTTTAAACTCCGCTTCTAGTTAAATTCCTTTACGTGTCGTGTGTTTGTGACTGTTAGGTACAGTACTCGCGCAAGATGTGGTGATGGTAGCATTTACATTCCTTTTCGCATGTGATGCTAACCTGAATAGATTCATATTGTTTTGTACATATAGGAGAAACTCATCCCTCAAACCCAAGATATATCTGCAGTGATGCCGGATCCTGATGCTTCTGTTGAAAATGCAAAGCCGGGTAGTAAACGTAATGCTGCCACTGAAGGGGTAGTGTGGTCAGACAGTAACGTCTTATCACAGCCTGGCAATAGTCAAACAGGTTTTTCTGAAGAAGTCTTGACTCCGCAACTTGAAAAAAACTCAGACGGTTCAAATATAAGCATTGCTGACCCGGCTGAGCATACTGTTCAAAGCGCTGGAGATGGCGATCGACAGGGTGCCAAAACAGTGAGCGCTAAGGTAGATATAGCTGAGGCCATCATTGAAGCCTTCCCGAGTGCAGATGAAGCTCAAAGGAAGCCTAGTGAACCACTACTGACTAGCAAGGATCCTGATCTAGCTTTTAGCAACCAGGCGGCAGTAGAAACCCAACATCAAATAAAGGTGGCCTCTAGTTCTCCGCGTGAAATTACTCAGTCTCAAAAGACACCGAAACTTGAACCCGTCGTGAATGTTAAAGGATCGGCACCAAACAAACTTCAACCAAAGGTCGTGGTTGGACAGACGCATATAAATCCGACGAAAGTGAATAATTTTAAACCCCCTCGTACGCGGACTACACATGGTCATTTTCACCGAAGTCACTTGCATTCTCACGGAGGTCATGAGCATTTTCACAGTGGACTTGGTCATTCTCATAATGGCCATGAACACTCTTATGATACACATGGACACGGAAATTCGCACGAAGTGGGAAACGAGCATTCACCTCCAAGGCAAAGCGAGACTTTACTATTACAGGATCCATTCAAAGGACATTCGTATATTGAGGAGAAGCCAGACACGTTCCCAGCACTTACAGAAACCAAAACATATAGTAAGGTAGTTCAACCAGGGATAGTTGGTGAGACCCCTTCTGAAAGTAACATCCACCCTGACTCTGGCAGTGGCTTAGCCGTCAACGCCGTAGCAAACGACAAGCCCGCTCCGGTTAGTGACAACGGACAACGTCAACAGAACCCTGTGGTAATGAAGAGCCTATTAAGTTTAAAATTTTTTTCTTGATTCAATTTGTTTCTTAATTTCGACTAAGTTGCCCGGTCTACGTCTTTTTTTTTGTATGAAATATTCTGAAAATGTTTGACGAGCAATTTCCAATAGTTCTTTAACCAGTGCATGTGTGAATAGCGTGCTGATACTGTGAACTGGAGTTGGAGTGTCGTGTTTTGTAAGGTCATGCATTGCTTTGGTTAAAAGGGAAGTCGGAAGAGTAGAAGCACTAGGTGACTCGCTAATGTCCTGCGAATCAGAAGTTTCCAAATTACCGAGTAATGTGATAGTTATTTTTGCAAGTAATTCAGAAGCTTGTTTGCTTTTCTGCTTAATGCGCCATCCATTTTACACTGTGAGAGCACCTCATGTTAAGCTTAATTTGATTAAAAACTTGATTTCTAGTTAATGAGTTTAGATTATGTGTACTCAAGTATCATAATTTTGACTTTCGTACAATGTGCTAGAACGTACAGTATGCTTATTAAATTCATATATTTATCTGCACGTGTAATTTGAGACAATTGTGGTGGGAATTATTACAGGGGGAACCCTCGGAGTATACCGTGAACACTTTGGAGCAGACTTGTGAACGTAAGGATGGCGTTAGTTGCGACGGAGGGCCTGCGGTACCGTTGGGACAGGAGAAACATGTCAAGCTTCAGTCAGCAGAAGATGAAGCCACGAAGTCGGCTAGGGCTAAGAAAAGAAGGCGACAAGATGACACATTAGACTCGGCGATTCGAGAGTATGTGGGACTTGTGTTGTCGGTGGTATGTATTCCATTTCTACAGTATATTTATGGTAAGAGTGTTCTGTTCCGGTATGTGGCCATGATTGACTATTACAGTAACCGCTTTTACGAGCCTAATTGACACATAAATATTTAAGAAACTATTGAAAAACAAAATCGCCGAAAATCAATGAATGTACTCCACGAACCAATTTTTCTGTATTGTGCTGCACTAAGGTGGGGTCGTTAATTTCCTTTTTCTCTTTCCTTTGAGTTCCTTGTGCCTCTTTGAAGGGGATGCGACGGTGTAGAACTGATGCGATACCATGTATTCAAATTCGCTCTGAAATTGTGGTATACCGCACTTCAAACTGTTCTAAAACATGGGGGCTCATCGTATGAAGCTGTAATAACGTGACCATGTTTTTTCAAATTGCTTATGTTTATCTAGAGTAAAACGTACTGATTGCTAGAAATTAGATTGCTGACTGAAACTGAAGTTTGCTTTCGTTATTTGTATATTCATTTCCTTATCGTATAATTTTCTTTGTGACAAAGCTTAAGTAAACTAAAAGTTAGTATTCTAGTGTGTGTATCTGGATCTGCAACTTGCATTATTATTATAGATAGCTCATACCATAGATATATAATTTACGTGTTTCTTCGTATATCTCAGATTCCAGATCCATTGCACAGATTACTTTGGGACCTTGAGGAGCAAGGTGTGTCAACCCACGTCGTCGTATTGACGTTCCTGTGTGGTCTGGTTGGTTCTTTTCTATTAATTTTCTTTAACTGCATCTCGATGAACTCTAAAGAAGGTACCCTTTCCGACTACATAGCCCGATTGGAGCAACAGTTGTTTGCACTCAAAAAGGAACGTGAGATCCTGCTCGAGACCAAGGACACTGGCCATGGCCTCGTTGTCGGGACCACTGGCGGAGATCAGGCGTTACCTAACGAGCTGATCGAGCACCATGAGAGGGAGCTTGAAATGATACTAGCTCGAGCCAATAACGTTGAGCAGGAAGTTCAACAGCTGCAAGAGCAAATCGAACAAGTTAAGGCCGAGCGAGACGCATACAGTGATGACGTTAATGAAAAGTTACAGGAGTATGAGAAGGAACTCTCCGAACTGCGTTTTGACGTCGAAACGAGCCGAAGAGAAGTTGAGCGTAAGGATAGGGAGCTTCAGGTTAAAAATGGTACCCTCAGCGAGTTGCAAGCCAGCAACGCTGAGCTCCTCGAGGAAGCAAAGATATGGGATGAGAGGTAAATAGATTTTTTGCTTATAAATATTGGATCGTATTGAGCAAAACATGCAAGATGTAAGAAACTACAAATTAATGTGGGAATCCTTCTAATTAGTTTATTCGTATTAAAGGCATACTATCATATCGCTATTAAATACTCTTGTAATGCGTTGGTTTGATCTATCTATGTATATAGCGTCTCATGCCATATTTTATTTGCAGGGTGAATGAATTGACATCTCGCGAAGAAATTAATTTGGCAGAAATGTCCAAATTACAACAGTTGCTGGAGGAGAAATGCGCCGAGGTAGAAGCTCTTGAGGAAAGCCTTAAGAGTATGAATATCTTTGAGAAAGCACAGGAAGCTTTCAGTGATGGTAGGATGACTATACGTGCCTATATTTTGCTCTGTAGTTGTTGAAATTGACTTAAGTTTGTTTCTTGTAGTTATAATTATTATTATTATTATTAGTTATTATTAGTTATTGATGTCGACACACATTTTAGAGCAACTAAGGTATCTTGTAATTATGTTGGATAATGATGAAATGAAGACCACCCTACATATGGTATCCTTGTGCAGTAACAACACATAGACTTCGCTTCATGCTGGAAGCCAGCGCTTGGAGCAACGTCTAGCGCCAGTGCCGGAAAACTCGGAGTACAAAAAAGCTCGAGACATTTATCCCGAACATAGAAGTCCGTCTGTAAGAATTCACTTGATTAGTCTAATTTAATTTTGTTTGCCATATTGTTGCAGGTGACGAAAAGGAAATTATGAAACGCTTAGTCGATGTGCAGAGGGCACAAAAACAAAGTGAGGAGCTAATGTCGATGAACACTACTCTTCAGAGCGAACTCACCGAAGCAAAAAAGCAGTGTGATCGATGGCGAACTGAGGTGGACCAACTGAAGGAATGTTTGCAACAGGCTGAAAAAGATAAACGGGATTCTGAGCAGAAACTAACAGTACTTACTGAGTATTTCAAGGATAAGGAACTCAAACTGCAGCGAGATGTGGTCATGCACGAAACTTTGCGCCAACAGAAAGAAAGTGACGCTCTTACTGTCTCCGAACAGCTGGATCTTTACCGCGAGCAGACCGCCAATCTGCAGTAAGTAAAACACCCTGCCAAGTAAATACTCATTATTAATTATTATTAATACTATATCATGTGGTTATTGTTTAGGTTAATCATCACGTATAGCTTTACGATGAGTGCATTTCATTATCTATACATCTGCTATCATTTGAGTAGAGCGGAGGTGGCATCGATGAAAGAAGAAATTGAAGTGTCTGAGAGAAGATACAAGCGCCATTTGATGGAACAAGAGAAAAAAACGCATGAAAACTGGATGGCATTCAAAAACGCGAACAAGACCATTGAAGACTTAAATGCTGAGACGCAGGTTTTGCGTCAGCAAATTATCGCAGCAGAGGCAGCTCAACGAACTTTAACTCAGGCCGCAGCTTTGCCCCAGGACCGCCCTCGGCCACCGCCCCCGCTTCCTTTGCCAAAAGGAGCTCAGATTCCACTTCTGCCATTACCGCTGCTTAACGGCCTCAAAGGTATTGTCTACGTTAAACGAAATCGATTTCGTGTCTATTTAGCTCTCATGACGTGAGGTGACATTGTCATTGACTCTGTATGAGTACAGCCCTCGAAATTATGAAATTGGTAATTTTGTAAATCCTTTTTTTATTGTCAATTGTGCAGCAAGCGAAATGCCGTCACCCCCTTCGGCTCGCTATACGAACGGGGCAAGATGTACACCTCCTGTAGGGGTGGTCCCTCTTCCGACAGTACTGTACCAGACGAAATCCAGCTCGTCGCGGCATAGTTCAGGTACATGTTTATGAGTGTAACCCGCATTCGCTTCACAAATTTGTACCATTCCGTTAGAAAAAAATTAACTAAGTAGTTGTTTTAAATATGTATATTTAGATTTAAGCGTCAGTTACCTAATCCCTCGAATATTTTCACGATATTAACGTATGTGGTTAATTGTTAGGAGCTGCACGAGGTGCATTGACCACCGACACAATTGTAAAATGTGCTACTGTCAACGATATAACATGATGTTTAAGCACAATATGTTGAAGTATTGTTGACTAGATTCTTGTTATTTGAAGTTTATTTATTATGAACCATTAAGTTTTACATCGCGAAGGTTTGTAGTCAAGTCTAACTTGAATCGTTGTACGTTATAGCGAATAGATTTCTTGTAGTTAAATGGTGGGCGTGTAAACGACAACGATCACGCGACACTTATAAGAGATAATTTAGCAACATCTAATTATGTCTCTAACATGATGTTTCAATGTTTCTTGCGGCTGCTACGGGATCGCTTGTAACAAAAACAAAACTTCAAAAAACAACAAACATTCTTTTTTTTCTTTGCATCCATTATTTCTTCCGCTGAGAAACAATTGTCTCTCCTTATCATATTTATCTCTTTGCTGTTGACAAACGACTGAAAACATTTTATTTGTTATGTTGCAATGGCTAAAATCTTTCAAATCTACTGCTTGCGCTTCTACAAATGATCGATGCCTTTATCACAAAATTTCGGCGACTTTAATCAAAACATTTAAAACTCTATTTTTTTTCGTAATCTCTGCCCAATTGTGACTTTCGAAAAAATCGCGCCAAAATGAACTCACAAAAAATTAACCGATCCACGAATCGAAACAACTAAATTTCACAACAAAAAAATACATGCGCACAAATACACGATCAACAAAATCTAAGAGAGAAAAGACCATCAGAGTCATCGACGTCGCGAAGACGACCACGAAGAAGGTCGAAGTGAGCGGAAGTCGAGGGGCGACAAGGCCATTGACCGGAGCGAGCCGCACCGCGATCGCAACCGCAATCGCGAAACAGCTGAAAGGAGACGAGAACGAAAAGAGCAGCAAATGCTTCTTGAAAGGGAGAAAGCTTCGCCAGCTAATTCAGCGAGCATCACGAGTGGCGAACAGCAGCAACAGTCGCGACGAGGGGCAAACAAGGCGTCCGAACTCGACCGTGATCCATCGACTCCTTCTGTTGTCGGTATTGCCGACAGCAGTGGAATATGCGGTGGCAGTACTGTTAAGGAGAACGGTAGCGCCAGCAGTAAGTGTCTTGTGGGTGACTGCTGCGCGTGGAGTACTGTGACAGCTGAGTTTATAATTGCGTTTTGTTCCTTGTGAAGGAGACACATTAGTCACCTAAGATTAGTAATAACGTCAAAAACAATAGTTACTGCTACTATTGTTACCGTTGCTAGTGCTGTGAAGTAGTGTACGTGAGAAAGGTGAACGAGTGCCCATTCTCAATCCATCCTCACAAAATAGAAGGGCGTTTACCCATCCGCTGATAATCATTTCACGAATGAATGGATTTTCTCCTGCGTTTTCCTGCTTAACGCTGTATGGTTACGGAAGTAATTCTACAGAATCCCTCCTCGCTTCTATTATATTGACCCTTTTCGTATGCTAGTAATATATGCAGAGATGTTCTTAGAAACTTCAGAATGATATATTTGTTACATAATCATGCTCGTAAATCTGGCTTATCATGACTCCTAGTATCGTTTTTTTTCAAACACTGCTTAAGTGTTATAACCGTATATTCTATATTGACGATACATTGCTTCCGCCATATTCAAAACACTTAACGTGCTGGCAGCGCAGAAATTCAAGGTACATCAATTCATGTGTTGTACATAGGTGTCACAGATCACAACAGGCACTTGATGTGATGTCGATTCATGTTTATGGCAGTCTCTCAGTTTGGTGACAGTCGGCTTCAGTGCCACTGATTTGACCTACGTAATCCTTAAGAATTCTTCAGATTCTGGCGTCTTTAAGTAGTATTACTGCACCTATTGTAGTTACCTCAATTTTTCTGTTCCGTAGCTCTCACCCGACTGCCATATAGAGACTGAACACTAACTAGTAATGGTGGTGGATTTGAAAGCTACTCAACTTCTCCGTTTCGTGTTTGTAATTTAACTTATGGCAAGGATCACCTGCGCATTTGTTCCGGTCTGGTGCACACATCTTTCACATGCCCACATGCACCGATAAGAAGGCTCACGTGTGTTTCTTTTTAGTATTCATATCCATTTTCTACACAACGACTTATGCGTGTTGTAGATCGAGCGTCACAAAATCGTAAACTGTGTTTGTACTTTACACTTCTTTCCGTTGTTTTTGTGTACGAATGACTGAAGTTAGTGTATCTTATTATGGGAAATGCGCGGAGGCAACTGTTTGCGTTTCTAATACATCATAAACATTAGGTCATAGGTCATAACAGATGGATGATGTATGTTTGATTGCCTAAATGTTTAGTTTTCATTGTTTTACATTTAATAAAAGGTGTATTGTAACTTACGCAATAAGTGAGCTTAGCATACTTATTACATAAGTATGCTAAGCTCACTTATTGCGTAGCTTCTATGATTCAAAATCGGTGTCTGCATGGGTGATAAATGTTGTGATAATAGCTAGGTGGTTTAGACAAAGGATTCGAGAGCCATAGTATCAGCAATACAATAATAATTTTTAAACCTACTAGGATTTGTGGTCTCGTTTCATGGGGTGTGGCCGCGCTAGCTAGCGGTTGTCGCAATCTATTGTCTGTGTGAAGTCCTTTGTACCACCGAAAATATACAGCTTCTACAAACTATAGTACTTTGCTTTTCTTGTGAGTTTTCGTCTCAGTGTATGGCTTATGTTTTATCCTTGGTGTATGCCATTGCACATCTGGCATAGTTCTTTAAACCATGCGATCCTATAAAAAACGTTCTCTGGCCATATACTGTTCAACAATCACTTGCGCAATCATCTTGAAATTAATATATCGTTCTATTCGAAGCGTATTCATTTCGAATGAACGCCCTTAGTTCGTGTTGGCTTTGAGTTGACACTCAGAATATGTTAGATGTTTGACAACAATTTACATATGCTCACCTCTCCATTTATGTCCGCGGGCTATTACAGATGGACGATCAGTACACTCTGGGGGCTCGAAGGGAGGAGTCATCAGTCCGGAACTTCGGAGAACATTCGCACACAGGCGGAGTGACAGAACTGACCGCGGCCGCGCTGATTGTTATGATCGGAATGAGCGTAATCAAGGTGACCTGGGAGATCGGCCCAATCGAGACTACGGGGAAAGATCCCCACGAGACAACCCCCGACGGTAGAGATTACTCCATGCTGGAGACTACGGCCGGCATTAACTGCTCAAAGAAACGACTATAAACGTGGTAAAAACAAAAGGACGCAAAGAAATCGTTAGAAATCTTGGAAGAAGTCCAAGGATGATGCTTTGCATGGCAACTTCATAGAACACGAAGACTGACAAACAGAATATGACAAATGACCGCAAGAAGGAAACTTAGGACTATTGTCCACCTCGGACTGTTTTGTCGATCGAGTGTCTATTGAAAATTACAGTGAACTGAAGCTAGGCGGAACGTAAAAAACTGAACCCGTTCCTATCGAATGCAAATCTGTCGTTAAATATAAAAAAAAAAAGATGCCATCCTGTAAATGTAAACGGGAAGTGCGCAAGATGACAAAATAGACAAAAAAAAAAGCTCTATGTGGACATGCTTAGAATGGCCGTGATAATCGACCGCAGAATCGAAGGAAGGACCCTTCGGCATCGACGGTTGTCCGATGAGTCGTCATCGGAATTCGCTTCCCCATACAGTTTCAAATATTAAGAAGACGTGCTGTACAACGATGCTAACTAGACATAAATGCGCACATAGGTTCTCATGAGTCCCCTAATGTGAACGCTAATGGAAGCACCATAGAGGCGTTGTTTACAAGTAAGAGTGTAGAGCGCCTTGCTGAGTGCATTTAATACCATCGTAAAACAGTACTTTCATCGAAAGTGACCATTTGATTCTTTGCTGTATTATATGCTTAGATAATGACATAGCGAAAAACTAGGAAAACGAAAGATTCTTAACAGCGTTAGCCCGTGGGTATACCTTGAAGCGCGAGCAAAGATTAGGTGATTTACCTTATTTTAGTTACAGAAGAATATTACGTTCACACTATCAAGTGTCTCTTAAATAGTCATAATCCGTTGTAGTGGGTCTTTTACAACGTTCCGTATATTTTGCATAAAATGTGTAATTTTTTTCACCTTGAGTTCCGTTCCTTTCGATTCTTCTGCGATTTTTTTTTCAGAAAGGATTCGAGACCTTTTGTTATTTGCAAAAGTACATGATACGAAGCTAATGGCGTTGAAGAACAAAATATATTTACTAGGTTACCTTGTTATAAAGACTAAATAAATAGCTATTAAGTGAGCTAGCTCTGTTATTAGTAAAGCTCGTCTTCCTCTATTCTATACCTCGTCTCGGATACTAACATGTTAGTGAAGAAACTGCGTTTTGGGGCAATAGTTTTTTTTACTTTTTTTAATCATTCCAGCGCTGCTGGAAACTCGCTGTTAACAGAATGATAAAGTATGTAAATTAAAGTGGCAATGAGTTTTGCAATATATAAAGCGAGGTGACGGTGGCAATGAGATGCAAATTACAAATATTTATATACACAAGGAGCACGACAGACGTACTCCGCGGCGACGATTTTATAGTATAGGGGATACGTAGCGAAAAATTTTCAGAGGAGTGAGACTGGAAATTAAGAACAGTAAATGTAAAATAAATCAGTGTATTTTTTGTTGAAGAAACGTGATGTCTTCTTTAAAAACAAAGATACATACTGATCTTTTTTAATTACCACATACTGACTAATTTTAATTTTTTAATAATGCGGAACTCAAATTTACTGTTACATGTATACACAAAATATAAGTTCGCTTATTTTTTTTACCAGGAATGGCTTCCTTTTAGAAATTTTTCTCTAATCTTATCTGCATCTTAAAAAATTAAAGCTATTGCCATTAAGAATTGATAAAGCAAAGTATTTTATTATACAATATAATGTGTTAGGAAAAAAAATATATATACATATAATTATGTGTAGCATGAACGTATGAATCGAAATATTGTTTATTTCATTATTGGTGTGCCCGATTGAGAAGACTGCCCAACGATGGCATTGCACCGTATGATACTGCCTATATGAGGATGCCTAATCTGGTGCAGATACACGCAGCCCTTGGCAAATACAAACCCTCTCTGTCACGTCTGGTGTGATGAAGCCTATGTACTGTAAAAACGAAAAACTATGTATCGGGTTATGCTGAGTGATCTTTTCCTGGTTTTATTAGCTGTAGCTCCCATATTATGAAAATCGGGACCGGTCTTCACTGTCTTTCGCTGCTGTGCGTTAATGAAATTCCAAGACGCTTGGATCTGCCACGCAGATCCTCCAAGAATAGCGGCGGGTCGCCTAAAAGGTATACGTATTAATTCAACGTTAAGCGACGCAGGTCCATGGTTCAAGGAAAAAGACTTGACTCGGTTAAGTCTAAGACTAGTTCTTTCAGTGAAAGACAATTTCAATTCCACAGCAAACAATAAAAATCACAAAGCCAGCCGTACACAAGAAAAGTTTTGAAGGCGCACGTATCTTCACCCTCGCAACCATCGCCCGTCGCACTCTGTTTGTCATGTGCTCTGCTGAAGTATGATTATTCGTGGATAAGTTCAGGATCAGTTACTTGAAACAATTTCCGTACTTGATGATCGTTCTGTCTATGTAGAACGTGTTAAGACGGATATTCTTGCAAGAAAGCTGTATTTCTGCTGTGAACAATAATATTTATAATTATGATGGATGCATACAGTTCCTTGAGAAACTACAGCACAATAGAGCCTCACTAGGAAGCCTATGTGTTCCAGTGTAAGTGTATAATCTATAGAGAACAAATCATTTAACGCATTCTTATCAGGTTATGAGGGAGCACACATACGTCTATGTTATGCGTTCCTTGGCACGATAATTATACCAGAACACTTATAAAGTGTTACTATTATTGAAATTATCGCACTTCTATATTAATGCAAACGATCTTTAAAACCATTACCGGGTGAAGTGCATCAAAATGCTCAGAGTCGTCAACGGAGATTTCAAACTAAAAAATCTGCCCTCTATACAATCCTCACAGTTGCGTATACATGTTTGTTTTATTCAGGTAGCATTAATATGCTCCAGTCGAACTAAAAGGTTACAGTAAGTAAATTATTCTGTCAGACGCCTCGAACGCTACCAGAGTTATTTAATCGACCTTTTTTCGCGTATTCGATTTTGCTGGAATATTCATCGAATTAACTGTTTGTTTTCATATGGAAAAAATGTCTCAGCCTAGTCTGCTTAAGTTAGCTGTTGGTATATGCCAATATGCTGTTGTAACTTACACCGCTAACCTATGATGAGCATTGTAGTGTGATTTTCTTCAAACATTTTTCAATGCATCCAGTCGTCCTTTTCTTCCTACTACTAACTATCTGCTGATAAATGGCACAAGATTGATCAGTTTATAGCAGATCTTCCTAAGAGAGTTTGTCATTTTGATATTCCCGTTAGTTTTACGTTGTTGCTACCACAATACGCAGACAGATTTAAGATAAAATTGCACCGATACCACTACATAGGGCTTTTCTGCAAGCGCAATAGCAAATAGTTAATGTATTGGCAATATCCAGTAGCTACTACAACATAAGGAGTGGCTATTGTTGGCAACGTTCAGATAAAAACTCACTGTACGGGCATGTGTGAACTTGCTTCTATTCTACATGTGATCGAAGCTTATGATAGCATTCGCTTACCATATTTGCCAATTAAAATATTTAATAAAATATATAAAGTGCTGCCATATTCAGCTTGTGTATGTACCTGACAGAAGTGCAAGTAATCAATGATATATATTTATTGCCTATAATACATATGATATATATATATATATATATATATATATATATACATTAAAGGCAATGAAAAACAAATGAAAAGTGTGCAGTTTATTTATTTTTTGCACAAAAATTTATTTAAAAAAACCATCATTTCAACATCAAACAAAACGATATATAAATGATGACGTACACAACGTGCTAGCTTACTTATATATTTATCATTAATCTTACCCTTATCATCTTCATCGCTTCACCTCATTATTATTATTATTATATAAGACTTATCATCATCATTATTATTATGTACATACGAAAAGGAGAAGTGTCTTGTGTTTCTATTTCGAAACGCTTCATTCATTAATGACCTGCCCCAAGTAGATATAAAATAGGTATTTCATAAGGATCCTTTTATATTTTCAGCTACCGTTTGTGGCAACTACTACTGCAACAGTAGTTATCAGTTGTCCAGATATATTCTTTTTTCGTTAACAATAAATTTCTATCTACGTTTTTTTGCTGCATTTATGGTTATCTTGTACTTCTCTTTACTACAGTGTATTCATTAAAACATGGACAGTATGGCGGCTGGATTGTCGAATATCGGCGCAAATTTTTGATTCGTTTCCGTCTTGCTATTTGATTGCGTTGAGGTTATTCGAAATTCATCAGAAGAAGGAAGGCAAAAAAAAAATTTCAAAATTGACTCCACGACTCGGCGAGGATTAAGTGACTTGGTGTCTTTATGTTGCTGGTCTGTTAGGCGGGACTTGATCGTTTTGCCCTAAAAAAATATTGATTTTCCCTTTCCCCAAAATGATTGCAATAAATAAAATGGCCGTGCCACATTGACGGATAGCTTTATCGTACAGGGGCTGAATGATCCGCACTGCAAATATCATAAATACTCAGTGTGACTCTACCGGCAGGAATAATTGATACTGCTCGATCGCAACTCGAGAGGCTAACCGTATGATCGATTCGTTTATATATTTACTAGCAGCACTGTTGTGTTCCTCATGTCTGCCCGAGAATGTGATTTACAGAAATGTCTTAATATGTAATTTTTCATTTCTCCTACTAAAATTAACTGTCGTTCTTTTTGACTCGAAGTCGATATCGATATCATATATAAACATGTAACTTACTGCAGTGTTTGCTCTATGTGGTCTTTGAGAGCTGAAGTCCCGCATCGAACGATTCAGAAGTATGCCCGAATGTCTGTGGCTCTACCTCTAGATAGTACCGTGCTGTTTGATCAGTTACAATAGTACTGCTATCTCGCTCGTCGCAGCTGTCTGTTTACGTTTCTGAAGACAAGTTCTTTTTGTTAATGATGGCCTAATGGCTCTCTAGAAAAGATGTATCGATTTTTTGAAATGTTAATCATTCAAATATGCCTGAATCATCTTTTAAAACTATCCGTTGCTTATTAAAACCCGAGCTCAATAAATAGGCTAGACGTTCTTAGTAAAACATCAAGGCTTGGAAAGGCGTGGAACAAGGCCCGTTAACGTGGACTTGGAAGCAAAGATCTTTGCCAACCCATATTTTGCCTCGATTTACGCGTAAACGATGCATTCGTCATTCGACACCACACCAAGTCTATTTTTGCGGTGGCGTCTATAGCTGAATTGCTTCTTCAGTACATCTCCCATCCATAACAGCATGCGTTTGGGTTTGTCTCGGGTTGGGTCTACGATGGTGATCGACAGTTGAAGTTAACATATCGCCTGGTGGCATACTCTATTCTACACCCTTTTTCATCGTGTTCGTGTTGTTTTTTACGCTAAATTTTGGTCATCATTATCAGCATGGTATCTATCCAGCAGAACTTATCTGAGCAGTGACGAGATTTAACTATTGCGAAAAGGGTAGAAGGGAGGACTTGACATTTTCGTTGTTTACGAGATGTTTTTCGTTCTTACTGTTTTTTTCGTGATTTTTTAATTTTTATTTCGTTAGCTAGATTGGTACGTTAATGTCGGATGTACCAAACACGATGTTGCGATATGTTGCTTTCGGCGTCATCGAAATCGTTCGAGTAAGCGCCGCCTCCTCGCGGCCTCTGGGGGGCAGGCGCTGGTGCGGCCGGTCTCGGAGTAGTGAACGCTGTGATTACATCCGCGTATTGGCGCGTATCAGCATCAAGGTGACAACGTTCCAGAAAGGAGGTTGCAAAGACGGAAAAGGGCAGAATTAGTGGATATAAAGATAATACAATGGAATTGACATTGTTTATCTCAAGATTTCATTGAAACATTGTCATGCATATATATACTTGTGTTAATTCTAAAAAAAGTGGCTTTAGCAACAATTGGGTTTGACAGGTTTTTAAATGTTCGATTTAAAAACTTCATTATAAAAAACGAAAAAAAAACGATACATTCTTCAATGACTTTTTTTTAGATTATATTTTATAGACTTTTAGGTTCCTGTTGTTATTTAATTTCGTAATTTTGTATCGGTGCTTTTAGCGTTTCGGCCATGATGATTTGCCTTTAGGTAACAGCGTAAACGACGCACCTAAAAAGAACGATAACTATCAGCCTTTGTAATCGTAATCTGATTTTACTTAGATTGACAGTAGGTGGATGCTGAGAAACGGTTAGATACGTGCACACACTTTAGCTGAATGAACTCGTATTTATACGCCTCCGAAACATCATCATGATCTACGGTTATATCGGTGAACAATAAAACAGAATTAAGCGAAATCGATTTGATAGTCTTCAATGCCAGTTTTGAATCTAGGCATTTGGCAGTTGGAAGGTAACTACAAGTGTGGTTCGCTAAGTACAAAGTGCCTCTGTTCCTTTAATTCAAATCACGAGAGTCCGTAGCTTCACTATCAGAAGCGGCAATACTACTAGTGGAAGCCGAGATCAAATGAGAAATTGAATTACGCAAAACCTCTGCGTATAGGCCTTGTATCCGCCTGTATTTATTTCCAACCGCTGTGCAGTTACAAAGCACCACAAACGGTACAAAGTTATACCATAGACTATACTTCCTTTGAATAATCCATGGTCAATACGACTTCGAAACTTTAGTACAGGACATTACGTTGCAGTTTATGCCCTTTTTTGTCTACGGTAAGCGAGAATCTTTGGGTGCATCTATTACACTGCAATACATAGAATGCTGTCGATGTGAAAAGCAAAAAAAAAAAAAAGAAACATGACAGCTTATTAAGCCTAACTATTATTCTGTCTCATATGTTGTAGTTGTTGCAGACTGTTCAATGAACGTACCAGGAGCGGGTCTAGTCACAGGCTCCGGAATGACCGGACGCTGAGTGCGGGACTGGGAATCGACACGGGTGTTTCTGAACGGCTGCTGGGTTGGAGCTTGTGGGGCAGGCGCTGGGGCGGGACGTGGGGCAGGACGAGGGACAGGCTGAGGGACAGGCTGAGGTCGGGGCTCAGGCTCCTTATACAGATCGTTGTTCAGTCCGAAATAGGACGATGACGACGCGCAGTCAACGTTCGCCCACCAATCGCACACGAAGTAACGCTGGTTGAAAATGGTGCCCACGGGGCAAAGGAACGAGTTCTTTTTACCGTCAGCCTCGCAAACGTGGAACACCTAGGCAAATAAGAAAATAGCGATTTCATTCTGAATTGATTGTGTTCAAATTGGTAGCTTTATGGAAACAACATTATTTTTGTTTGTATTGTCTATTTAATAAAAAGCGCCGTAGCATATGCAGCCAGGAATATCTATTTGAGATTTTAAGTAGCGATTCTGCGGCTGTCGAACATAATTTGGCGCGTGATACGTAACGTATAGTAGTCATTGCCTTCTAAAGAGAAGGGGCAAAGATTTATATACATAAATGGTTATTTGTCTATTTTTGAGCTACATAAAGATAAGCGGTTATAAGCGGAGAATTAATATATATATAATACGATATGTTGACGGTCATAACGAGCTAAAATAGATGCTGAGGGATTCTTTAAAAAACACTTTGATCAGTAAGAATCAATTGATGCGTCCTCACTTCGTTTCCTCGTTCGTCTTACATGGGTTTCGGTAAAGCCGCTGCTTTCGTTGAACTGATGAACTAATCACTATAATATTCAAATATAGTTTACAGACAATAGGAATTTTAGGCTCGAGATTTTAGGCAACTTTCACATTTGGCTAAAATCGTTTCGTCATTATTTATTATCCGTTAAAATTCTTCTGACGGCTAATCACCCGAGCATTTAGCGTCAAAAACGGAGTGACAAAAATAGATACAGGTACCAGTTGCACGGGCGGAGGGCTAACAACGAAAGGCTCAAGAAAAACAACGTCGACTACTTACACAGATTTAGAAGCAAAAACAACTGTAAAATCAGCGCCAGCGACGCTACCCATCGCTCGCATTTTATCATTTCTGGCGGTACACACAGACACACACAGTGATGAACCACCAAACCGTTTCATGTTGCAGCCAAAACGTATTCGCGCTACGGTGACTGAACAAATCGCCCCAAATCTTTCGTCGTTGTCAACGGTCACTGATCATCATCATCATCGTCGTCGGTTATCGTCATAGGCATCGGTGTGTAACGACGATGAAGACGACTTCTGCAATGAGAAAGTGCTTGACGAGAAGAAAATTGTTGACGACGATGACGCACTGGCCACCCATATCAACTGCTTGCAAATGTCGAACGGGAACTGGTGCTGCTCCAAAAGGCAGAACATATGAGACTCGTAGTAGTGAATCTTTTAAGTGTTAGTATAATAGTAGGTACTGCAAGATCCAGCAACTAGTATCCCAGTTGGATCTTCACACAGGGTAGCGACTACGGTGGCACGAAGAACCTATTGCAACTCACTGATTCGCGCGTCCGAAACGGACAACATAATTATAACAACCGACTCAAACCTAACCCGTATGGACGCCAACGGACGAAGTTGGTTTGTGCAGCGGTAATAATGCAAACTTAAGCTGTATCAAAGACAATACGCGCCTAACTACTACGTTTACATAACACAGCATACGTACTATGATGTGCATATGTTGATGTACACGTCATTGTTAAGGGAAAAGAAACTGACGTATGAGTAACAAACCGTGGGCTCATTTTTTTTTTTTAATGTCAGATATAAAAAGCAAGCCTACTTCTTTCGTTTCAGAGGTAAATGTGGTCGCACTAAAGTGACGGAACACCAAAAGGTGATGTAACGAGCTCATTAGAAGGATACCCCAGCCAGGACGATACCGAAGTCGCCTTGTAGATTTATCAATGGAGCCTCGGATAAAGAAGTTAGAAGGTTACAAAATGCTGATCGTATTACGTACTCCAATGAATTATTACTGATGAGCGGGTTACCATAGTCCAGCTAAAAACAAGGGAACATCTTTCCCGTATTCCAGCTGGTTATTCGATTAAAAACCATCACGATGTAAACAAGAGTAGAATATGAATACGATTCTGCTGCACATATGCAAGGGTTTCTCATAAAGGTCTATAAACTTTAGAAAATTTCCGAACGAATTAGCTTAATCGGTAGGTTCGCGCATCACTTAAAGTATGTACATGGAGAACTCTTGGAAGACAACGTTATTACAGTGTTTTTATGTCTATGTCTATTATGAAGGCCTAATGTGCAAGGCGAAACGCTGAGTCCGTAAACTCATCATTAAACCCATTATCGACAGGTGAATGGCTCTTTTCTGATGCGGTACTTTACTTATACACCGCACTGAAATTTCTGTGCTCTGCAATTTCTTTCGTTGGAGTCCTTATATAGCTTCCGTTGCCAAACCCGCGGCGCATTTTCAATTAAAGTCACTATTTGATCATTTGATACAAACGAAGCCATTTTGTTTCTACATCGAGCCAAAAGGAAATTGCCAATCAGCAAAACGGTCGACTTACCGATGATTCGGCATTTTTGAAGCATGTATTTTTGTTTCTCATAGAGACACATAAATGGGATAAAATGACACGGCTGTAACCGGACCAGGTTCCGGTTCAAATAAGCGTTACTACACAGAGCAATGTTCACGATCCAAGATGTTTTTTACATAATGTGGATATGTCTTTCATTGGAAGGAAGAGTTGTTGTTACACCAGAACATGATTGACTTTGATCTTCTGAGTTCACACGGCCTTTACAATGAAGTCAGTATCTCTGTGCCGATTCACTGTTGAAAATTTAAAATATGGTGGGCAAATCAGTAAAGACACAACACGCAGATATAGACACGACAATAATTAAAACTTAGCGCTGTAAAACTTAACACCAATTTGATCAGTAATAAAGTAGAGCCTTTCAGAAAAGCGCAAAATCTATAATACTGAATACGCGTTACTTACGATGGCTTCAACTAAGGACTGAAATACGTGTATATGGTAGACACGAATTGGCCAAAATAAGTAATACTGGGTTTATTCAGCCAAGACATCCCAATCGGCGTCAAGATTCCTTGTCCTTTTATGCTGAAAACGTGCATCCGTTGAGTTTCTGGGCAGTATGCTCTGGGGTCGTTGCATTCGAAGGTCGTTCCAGTATAATTTTTTTAAAAATAATTTCTCTTAACTGTTATCCCTAAAAGAATTTTCATTTTTATATACCGAATATCAAATTCAAACCTGGCAACGGGCTTCAATATCAGCGTAATATCCGGGAGTTTGTCCTTTGCAGTCAAATGCGGTCTGGGGAATGGTTGTGAATGTGGGATAGTCAGACTCGGGTTTACCCGGAATCGAGTCCTCTAGACGCCAATTGGCCGGATCGTCGTAGTCATCTGCGAAAAAAAAAACGAGCAGGAGCATATCCGCGTTAGGCAAGCTCGATTATAGCATAAATAAACACAGATATATTCCTCGTCGCAGCTAAATACTTATACGCAATGCATAACCAAATACTTGCTTGCACGTTGCTTTTTCATTGATAACTAATTAGAAAGTAATAGAAATAATCAAAATGTTGGTTACACTTGAAGCGGATCATTGATGTTGATGTAAGGCTAGCGTGATCCATACGTGATGTCTTTCCAATACCTGATATCGCGCTTGATGATCCGAGAACTTCGCACGCTTTTAGAACGCAGACTGTAGACTTAAACAATGTGTATGATGGATCCATTAAGTTATTTCAGCTATCAGTTTTATCATTTTTATAGCAAAAACATTGAAAATATATGTTTCAGTAGAAACAACAGGATGAAAATTAAACGCGTGAGCAACCGAAAAAAAACTGTTCATTATCGATGACAAGCCGTCTCATGTGGATGATTCTACTATGGGGGACCGTATGAGCCTCTTCAACGATCCAATGGCACTAAACAGATCAGCTTGAGTGTGATCAACATAAAATAGTTTGTTATTTGTTTTCGAGATGCTAAGGACGTCGTTTACCCTGAAGTTACCTGTTCGCATTCATTCGCCTTTGACCGAAGTCCGTTGCGGCAAGATGCACACTCATGTACACACAATATTATATATCAAAAAAAAAATATCCACATGAATGCTAATTTGCATTTAAAAAAATTAGTTCAAAGGAAATGAATGATGATATCTAAAGATCTTCCTATTTTCAGTGCGCCATCTGCCTTCACAACGGTCGTTTTAACGGACAGTGTAATTCTGGCAGGCAGCCACCTATAGCCGCTATTCAAAGCTCAAAATAGTCAAATAATGTAATTATGCGTATTATGTAACGTCCTTTAAAGACTATTGAGGTAACATTTTGTTAGCATACTGTTAAAGCTAGCATTGAACAATTATCTAACCATTTCATTTTTGAGCGACGCTTCTACCTGATGGCCGTGCGTTTTCAGTAAACTGCGAGCACGCCTGCACGACACAATACATTAACGCGCATATGGTCGTGTTATGCTACGTAATCAAAGTCATATCGATATTATAGGGTACGGATTAAAGCTGACTGAAGCGGCCTCTTGATTTGAATAACTAGATTTCTTCGAGTTTAAGTGTTGTTTCACACAGCTGATGCCCCTCTCAGCACGAAATAGAAGGTGTCTCTATGTTCACCTGTTTCGAATCTAAATCACCCGATCAAGTGCACTAAGTTTAGCAAGAAAACACGTTACCCCCTATAGGATTATAGAAACGGTGTCGCGGTCCAGCGTTCGTCTAGTGAAACTTACCACCGCCGTGTGCCCCGTGTGCAGAAACTGGTCTTTGGGATGGTTGAGCGGGTTGAGGTCGAGGTGCAGGAGGCGCTGGTGCTGGCTGAGGACGCGGGATTCGCCCCTGAGATTGGACTTCGGTGTTCCTTCGCGGCGGGGGCGAGGTTGGTCGATACGATGGCGTATCGTCCCAAGATACATTGTCCTCTTCATCGGGCAGTTCCGGACGCGCATAGCCTTGACGCTTCAAGAACTGTAATGAAATCGTATATGAAAAGACTAAGTCTTACCCATTAATCCAGCAGTATTTCTGCGATAAGTATCAAGACGTTTTAATAGCAATAAAATAATCAGTATACGTATCAGGATATGCACCTTCATCTTATTTCCATGGTACTGCTAGTTCTTTTCAGGTTTGCCTTAAGCAGCGTTCTAAATAGAAACCTCTCCTTTCCTTTCACCTTTTCAAGGGAGTGAGGCGCTTTTGACTTAAATAGTAGTGCAACGGCCCTATTTGCTTTGGATGTTTTACTGATATACAGGATGGCCCTGATACTGTTGTGGTCGACTTTCCTCGTTTTGACATGACTCGTTGTTAATACATTGACAAAATGTACAGTTAATAGAATATTATATTGAGGTACAGCTCAGCTCATGCTGACAATAGCACGAGCGCCTTGTAGTGATAAAGTAAGTAACACATTTAAGGGAATAAGGAATTGCAAAATTAACATTTTCAGCTATAGATGCTAATATGGAGGCGATTGTTTTGAATGTGTGCGTGCAACACGCATGCAACGTTCACATAAAAATTTGGTACTGTTTATGCTTACTTTTACCGTCGTCATATGACGTAGTGTAGTTACAAAAAAAAAAAAAAGGTGAAATATTTTAAAATGTCGCGACAGTATGTTAAGTCGCGCAGCCGAGACGCATGGCCCCTCCTTTTGAAATATCGTGTTGTTGTTGTTGTTGTTCGTTTGTATTCGTAATATTCAGTAATTACAACGTCGTAAGCCGGGCTAATGAGAGTTGAGAAGATGAAGCAGATTATAGTTATAGGTACCAAAGAAGAGAGCATAGTAATACGAAGATTGTAGATTGGATCGGGTCGAGTTGAACTGTGGGGGGGCAGACGGATGGAGGGCGGGGAAGGGCACAAACCGGGACGCAAAACATCAGGGGAACGATATACAGACAGTTGTTGTTCTGGCTAGCTCTGTCACTGTAGACTTGAAGAAACAGTACGGTAACATGTTGATGATTACTAATGGCGCCTTTAGCTTGAGCCCGCATTGAATAAAACAACAGAAAGCTGCTGAGTCTCAGCAGCTTTCTGTTGTTATATACGCTATAGCCAAACAGATGAGTACAATCCTAGCCGTCATGCACACCAAAGTGAAACTATACGGTTTATCTGTACGGAGCCGATCGCATCGACTTCTCGAAACGTTCGAGCAGTTCTAAGAAGTGGCTACCTGGAATAAGGGCCGTTAGGACCTTGCAGAAAGATTGTCGTTGTATCTCAAACATGGACATATTCTCCATAATGTATTTGATTCTTATGTTGTTTAGCACATATTTAAACTAACTTGTAACATAGCAAGATAACTTAATTCGTCTCTTGCATTGAAACAATAATAATGGTCGTAGCGTTTCCGTTGTATGCGTCAGAAGAGAACTGAAGATGCCACCGGTGAGCAATTATCTGTTCCATGATTGCAATCCTATGCTGGAATAGTAGCCAGTTTAGGTAATTAACAATACATCGATTGGACATGTAAAATAAGCCTGTTCAAGTGACCACCACCAACTACGAAGGTCGAGTCAGTCCGAACCAGATCCGAACAAAAGATCGATATGTGTGTCGAATTGGAAATTTTGTAAACGTTATCTTGCCAGACAAATAAAATGTCTACCAAACAAAAAAACCAGCAGGACTGACTTACGTGCTGTACCATTTGGCTGGTAAATAAATATTCTATTGTCCTGAAGGTTCATAATTTTAGGGAAACGCTTTATTCGCTATTGGCATAATTAGGGGAAGTTTCTCAGGCTGCAATACCGTAATAGCGGCTTGTAAAAAGCCCTATGCGATAGCATCCAGAGCGTTTAATGCAACCTAGAAATCTTTTCTCATACACATTATCCCATAGAACCGTGCTTGTCAAGTCCAACCCTGACATATAATGGGAATACACAGATATCGTAGCTGCGTCTTGAGAGGATTAATAAAAACAGTTCATTTAGATACCGTCTTCGATGTCGCATACACACAATGATGTCCAACTAGAACGTCTAGAAAAAAACATTTTACAAAAAAGAGCTTTGTTACTTATTTAAGATCCGATAGAAAAACAGAAAATATCAAACGGATTTAGCCGGATTCAACGTGACTTCTTCACAATAGGCGGCTAGGAGCGTGGATATGGTGTCCAATTGTTAATAGTTTATACATACATATACGTATACGTATACGAACATAAAAGGTTTGTCACAGTGTATTATGAATACTAATTGTTTTAGTTTAACATAAAGAAAAGGCGTTCATAAAGAGTTAAAAATATCACAAGGCCTTATTCGTGGTAATATGTAGACTCAGAATCAGGAATACCCAGGAGAGATAGATTTCCCGGATCACTCTGCCTAAGCCCAACACAAAAAGTTATGCTTACGCGGAAGCATTAATAGCGACTATTCGAGGCCATATATCCTATGCACGAATTTCGGATATCAGGTATAGACTCCAGCGTCCTTTATGCAACGTGATGCTAGCAGGACGTCTCACAACTGTGTTCGCATGGTAGATGATTAATAATGAATATAAGCATTTCCATGGAATACTATTTCCTATATGTTCCCGGAGAACATAGTCTGAACTGATTAAATGGGTAACAAATTTTCCGTATCTTGTCTTCTAACTTCGGTTGTGCATGCACGTTATCACCAGCCGACGACAGTGTCTTAGTGAAGCTGCAGATAACAAGAGGAATAGATGAACGTTCCCATTTTTTGATGTATGCACAGATTATCCAAATATAGCAGATGATTGTAAATCGCGCGTGACGGGACGGTGTTGTCGAACGAATACTCTATGCCTCGGCTGTTTAAATTCCGAGAATCCGACAAATGAGTCTGCGCATAGCTCACACCACTGAAAGTGGCTGTAGCAGCAGTAGCAATATCTGGCCTTTTCCTTCAATCTGAATGGTGTCTCACGGCATCCACTAGCCACTGCTATGTATTTATGCGATTATACTGAAATTCTGTGGCTTTCATGATAACATATCAGCGCTGTCTGCCTACCCGACAGCAGCTCTTGTATGGTTCAAAGAGCCTCCCACTCCGCTCCGTTGATGTGCCTCACCGACATTGATAGAAGTCATACTGACACTAATATAGGCGATTGTTTTTACTTCGAGGCATCTTAGGCTTGGGGTAGATTCAGCTTCGAAACGCCTATCCCACACTGTGTCCCAATGAATGGTCGTCGGTGACTCTTCGCCCCGGCCGATCCGGGCGGCGACTATGGTCTTGGGCGAAGAAGACCGCAGCCAAAAGAAGCGCTGAGTCAATGGCGTTGCCACACTCGTAGCGGTGGGACGTCAGCGTCAATGCTCAATAGTGGCGGGTCGTATACTTCGGGAACAGAAGTACAAAATGGATGGATATAGCACTATTGTTGATGGGGCTGCTTCCAGCGCAGATCAACAGAACTCCCCGCACTAAACACTATAGCTGGTGCAGAAATGATGTCCCAAAGATTGTGGGAGTAGCCAGAAGGACAGTTCACAGCAGAAGCCGCATCAGCTGCTGACGACAGTAATTTGTTCAACGAGGGAGTGAAAATAATCACTCATGATCGAATCCAGAAGATTGATTCTTGTAATATAGTTGAGTAGACGTAGTGCGGGGATTTTAGTCGCGTGCATATATTACGGGTCGACCCGATTTAGTCATAAGCTTAAATATAAGCACAATGGTTCAACCGCATCGGGTCTCAACGATATGTTTCGATCGTTATCCTCGCTTCATTTACAACATTTTAACGGGAAAATGCGTCCAGCTTGGAAGGAAATCACGTATTGTAGAATTATCTATAATATAGATTGCCCTGGTGATAAGTTCCACATGTCTCGCGTCGTCCATATCATATCCACTGTCTACAAAAAAAAACCGAACCTAAATTATTGCGCGACTATGATAGACTCAAGTACTGTTATTGTTGGTCCAGAACAAAGGTGTTACGATTAAAAACGGAAAATAATAGGCGACAATTGGAAAATCCATTATTATGTCATCAAATCTTTCAAAAAAATGTCTGCATGATTTATTTCAATCAGCAAAGCCTTACTTGAAGTCATCTTGTGCCTTCTATGCGTTTCTATCTCGCCTGTGTTAGCCCGGATAATCGGACATTTTAACAAAGGCATAGGATACTAATATCTGTGCGCCATTTTTGAAGGTATATATGGAAACGTAGAATATCGTTTGTCATGAAGTACGGTTGGACTGAACTAGACAATGGTTACCAATTGTTTCAGCTGGGTCAGAATATCCAGGACGCTTGTTGGTTCGTAAACGAGTATCCTGTAGTAATTCTCAGAGATAGCCTATACAATCGTGTGTAATTTCGGTGAGCTCTTTCTGCATAGACATTAATCAAATACATGCATAATTTGGCGGGCTTTTTAGCATTGTTCCTGGCAGCGTTGTTCCATCTATGCGTCTTTTGCTTTAGATGTAGATTACGTCGTTGTGAATCTAATGAATGGTTACACATAAACGACGAATACGAATATTTGTCTATTACATTATACGTTTCATCTTGAGGCTAGGTTCTCAACTCTTTGCAGTTCATAGACAAGCACTATGAATAGTGTATCTGTGCCCTGTTGTTTCTGTAGCAGTGCTATTGCATACCGTTTCTAGGGTCGTATTTTTGACAAAGGACTGCTCATCGTATTAGAGGCTAGTCCATCCCTCATGCATTTCGCTATCAGGAGCTCCTATGGTGATTGTGAAATTACCTAGCAAAGAAAGTCCATTTGCCCGAAAGTCTCAGGCGACTCCAAGGACCGCCTTCGCAGGTATTGACCCTTACGTGGTGCAGCCTCTTGCGCGGACAGGTACCCAAACGTCAACAAGTCAACGATTAATGGCGGCCTAGATGGCCTTATATTACCGGTGCGCCGGCTTGGTCTGCATATCCCTTCAACTCTAACCCAGTAACGTCCCTTTGTAGTCGTTCAA